AATACTTACATAAATACTTGTGGAATTGCTTAACCACAAGCAGGTCGAATCAATATCTTGTAATTACATACTTCGTACTGTCAGCCGTTCCACCTACGTAACTGTTTATTTTTGGAAGTAACGCCATGTTACAAATGAATCGAGATCATGTCGCCTACCGTGTTCTCGCAATTGACTGGGTACGTTTAAATGTGATAAAATGTTAAGTAAATCACTTAATGACGTGCACAGAAGGTGAAGAAAACATTTCGTCCGTCTAACGAGTGTCGATGGATAGCCCGTCGTCATTGCGAATCAAATCTATGATACGAAATAGTTGTAATATAATGAACAAAATGTATAGGTACATATAAAAATAGCTTAAAAGCAACATCATGAACTTAGACCAAGTTCACGATACTACCATGGTGACCAATAACAACTTTTAGACATAAGAACACTCAACTACTTTTTTTGATTTGATAATTATTATTGAAAGTAGTAAAGAGTTAGTATATTTACTAAGGTGTCAAATTGATGAAAGATTTTTTATCAAGCCTGCTAAAGAAAGAGCTCGCTGGTGTGATTCATTAATAATAAATGTGTGGGTGTAGAAACGGTTAAGCCGTCGCCGACGCCGATGCCTTAGAAGGTCGTCGACCATATGGCTTGCCTCTACTTAAGCGCAGAGTTCGGAGAGTTAAAATTTTAATTTTTCAATACAAAAGGAAAGGCCACGCATAGCTTCTACTTTCGCACGAATGGTCTGGATTGCCGGTGAAGTACCTCAGCCTCACAAAAGAACGACGTGAAGTGGAAATGAACATTTTTGTTATATTTTTATTTCAGTTTTGATAATATGACTTTAAAAAACAAGATTCAAGTCTCCTTAATATCGTTTTGTATTAAGTAAAGCTTAGCAAAAATACAAAGGTCTACTTATGATGATGATTTTTCACCGTGATAGCTCAGTGTCCAGGCGCTCGCCTTTAATTCAATATGCTCGAGCAACCTGAGTTCGATCCCCGGCCAGCACCAATAAAATTAATTAATTTTACATGCTGACTTTATCACATGCTCAGCGGTGAAGACACCGTGAGGAAACCTGCATTTTTTCGAAATAATAACAAAAAAAATATTTGGAAGATATCTGAAGTTCGCCAATCTGCAGTGGGAGCGTGGTGGACTATGCCCTGATACCCTATGTAAAAGAGCCTTTGCCAAGTAGTGGGATATTATAGGCTGTTACTTTTACATTTGATCAATTTGTGATAATAGAACCTACTTGTATTTGTACACTGGTAAGTGGGAGTTCATAAGAGATTTTCAATTAGGCCAAAGCAGAAATTGCATATAAAAGCCCACGCTAAAGAGAATGGGTATAAACTTGGCGGCAGTAGTGATGCCATAATCGCAAATTACTTCCTGCGTTTGATTGTTATGTACTTGAAAAACAGCAGATCACCTTGATAACGTCATAGCTACCCCAAAAAAGTTAAATTAGTTTAAAAGCCAAATAATTATTCCAACTTATTTTTACCGTAATTTTAAATTTGTAACCGTAAACTACTTGGTGTTATAATAATTGATAATTGAAATGCTATATATACCATTTAATAATTATTTACCGATTCTACTATTTTTTTACTATTTTTTTTAATTTTAACAGTTTGTTTCTCATCAGTCATCACGTTTCAAATGTTTGGTATAGCATTTAAAAATAATTAAAATAGTGGACTTATCAATTTTTATTGTGTAAATTTTGGAAAATCAATAACAAATAATGGTACGTAAAATTGTAGGGATGGATTCTATTAATTTATAAATATACTAGCAGATCCAATAGTCGTCGTGTACACGCGATTTATATCCGACAACAACTTATAAACAAAAAAAGAAAAATGTTTTGGGAATCTAAACCATTCGAATCGACCTGAAGACACAAAAAAATTCATTAAAATCGGTTCAGCCGTTTAGGAGGAGTTCAGTGAACACACCTATAGAAGAATTATGTATATAAAGATATTTATATATATAATTCTGATATATTTGTGTTTTAACAATTCTCTTATGTTTATGAGTATTTTTATAACGTACGGGACGACGCCCTGGACATGTCATTCGAACCACTTTTAATCTTATCGCGTAGAAGTAGCACTGGATTAGTGAAAGCGAACATATCTTCAAATTTTCGAACGCACTTGGCATGGTTGCAAAATGAATATCGTTTGTCGAATTTTTTTATCTGTTTTGTGGAAAAAGACATTTTTTTACTTACAGAAAAATTCTTCATGCAGGTACCTACATGCTATAATTGTAGACTTAAAGAGGAATTAATTCTTTTTCAATATACTTCTACCTACATTAATACCTTAAAACGAGCAATTCTTGTATATATATAATCTGAATCTCGGAAACGGCTCAAACGACTTTTCTCTTTGATTTCTTTTTTTTTTCACCTTTTTTAAGTTCTTTCTTTTGAGAGAAAATAAAAACGAGAAAAGCTCGGTCATCCAGGTACTCCATAATTATATAAACGAGTATTCCATAAAAATTAAAAGGTGTTTCTTTTTTAATTAATTCATGTTGATATCAGCGTCATAAGGCCGATCGTCTAAACTTGATACGTTTAGAAGAACGTCTCATATTTTTATTTCTTACTCATCGCGTTAAGCGTTATTGTATATCTATATTCCCAATGCGGTACTGTTGAGTAATCATCTCGATATAGAGAAACCTCTGATCCCGTCATCTGAGGGTCAGCGATGCAATGAGTCAAGCTGTATTAACAGCAGATGCTTTATCAATAGCACAAGGTGCATTCGCATAAAACACGCACCCATCACTTGGGTAATTCATCGTATGATTTTTTTCTCGACGTATTGATTTATGCCGCTTTCTTAAGATTTATGTATTTAAAGGAAACGAGTGAGTCAGAATTATTTTTGCATATATGTCATGGCCGCCTTGTGTCGCCCTTGTTGCTTATTCAGAATTACCTCGTCGGAGGTTTATGTGATTTTTATCCTTATATGCAATATAGGTCATTTGTTGTACTTCATTGATCAATATTATGTATATCTTATTTGCAATTAATTCTTGTAATGACAAAGCTAAACGTACTCCTGTAACGGCATTGTTATAAAACTTTTCTTACTGTATACTTTTAAGAAAAAATTGAATCGGATGTTAATAAATATTGTTCATTTTTATTATTAATAATAGCACTTGTAGTAATCTGAACTTGAAGAAAATTAAGTCAAGCGTCGGATACTTAATAAATTCTATTAAAAAGAGTCATTTTTATGTATAAATAAACATGCAAATAATACCATCAACTCTCAATAAAACTCGACAATTTAGATGACTTCAGAATATGTCAAGAACAATTTATTAATAAGAGTGTAACGAAACGTTTTACATTCAGGAAAAAGAATATTTCATGAATTACGAATAATAGGAAATAACACTCATTGCTATTATATATTATTGAAATAAAACCCCAGGGTCTTGTGACATGAGTAAACGTCCCAGTCACCAGATCATCACTAATATTTTTTTTGTGTAATGTACAAATCATTATTACTTCAAACAATGTTCACAGTGGAAACATCACAGTGAATAGGTAATTTAACATCGTGTTTATTGCAAAATTCACATTTATTTATTTGCATAATAACATGTCGGTTTCGCCGTACGTAGTCATCATTTTCATATATCGGTAGATCGGTCCTTGACCGCTAGGGGTTGGGTGATAAAAGGCATTGGAACGAAAGACATCGATCGCAATTAGACGTTCAAAGGACGTAAGTAGGACATGTTTGCTCTTTCATGTTGCTAGGCTACGCTGTATGCGCCAGCTGTACGAAATCGAAACAGCAGATTATCTATCACGTAGATATTTTTATAATCATAACAGACTACTTAGGATTTGTATGCATGTACCTTTTCACTTATTATCCATATATATCGTCAGGGTTTGGTACGTAAATGAAGAGGGTTCATTGCGGATCAATCGGTCATTTCGTTGAGTCATAGCTAAATCTGGAACGGTTCCGTCGATGTAAGCCGCACTCTTGAGCTCTCCTTTGATCCTTTGTGTTAGGCATAGATTAGGCTTCCATTCTAAATCTAAGTAGCCGCAAATACGGATTTTTGGTTCAAATTTTCTGTGTGCATGGTGACACAACGTATGAACTTTTGCTGTCATATATGTATATGTAAACCTTTTTTTATTTCTTCAATTATTCTAATAACACTTGAACGTATTTTGAATGAATGTAGTCCGTCGGGTAACTTACAAGTTACCCGACGGACTACAGCACTCCCGAAAAATGATTAACTAATTTAGAATTGAATAGTTTAACAATATAACCTATGTATTTTTAATTTCCAAATAAAATAATATAAGTACTTTATTTTACTGTATTTGCTTGTTAACTTTCAAATTTTAAATGGAACAAATACATAACTAGTATTGCACCGTACGGCAGTAAGCGGCTTGGGCCTGCGTTAAGCGGATGCCTTATTAAAACGATAAAAAGCCAGCCTTTTAAATGGCATTAAATTCAGTAAAGTTGTCCGTTAAAGTAAAAAATATTGTTTTTCCAAACATTAAACGATTCGCTTAGTCAATGTGCTGTGAGTAGATTATAATATAAGTGTATAGCTTTTACAATGTCATGGGTTTTGGCGTACGTTACGCGCGTACGTTTTACTTCGCATTGCCCTCAAATAATGGATTTATGAAATTTTATAACAATTGGAAACGTTAGAATATCAATACATACCCAAAGCAGTGGAAGGTGAAACCTATGTGAGCGAGATGGACGCGGGTGATGGCCGAGTCGCTAACGCTGCCGCCTTTGCCTCTTCCTCGACGATTTTCAATTTCTCGGCATCCTTATCGTGTCGAAAGGTGTGAATACAATATAAGAATTGGTTAAGTGTGTTTGATCAAAACGTAGTATAAAAAAATTTTTGAATATAAAACCAAATTTTAAAATGTCATTTGTCCATAGGCGTCACCGTTGCCCACACAACGATGTCCCGGAGCCATTGTTCGATGTGGCGCACACGACGAGCGTGGTATCCGCATACAAACAGGATTACGACGAGAAACACGTCAGTCGTACGACTGCTGTTCATCATGAGGACCATCTCCGGCTTGAAGGCGACTTCCACGAACCTGAGCGACCACAATGGCAACCCGCCGAACGACCGCGACCTACTAAGCCGGAGGACAATCTCAAACCTGAGGGTGAATTCGAAAGGAGGCACCCAGAAGAGTGGCGGCCGGGTGACAGAGCACCAGTAAGGCGTCCGGAAGACAATCTCAGACCAGAAGGTGATTTCGAGAAACGTAAGCCCGAAGAATGGCGACCCGGTGATCGTGCTCCTGTTCGTCGACCTGATGATAATTTAAAACCCGAAGGAGAATTTTCTACCCCCGAAAAGGAACCGTGGAGACCTGCAGAAAGACAAAAACCGAGAAAACCTGAAGACAACCTAAAGCCTGAGGGTGAATTCCAGAAACGTCAACCTGAAGATTGGCGCCCTGGTGAGAGAGCACCAGTGCGCCGTCCTGAGGATAATCTGAAGCCCGAGGGTGACTTCGAAGATAGAAGGCCTGATGAATGGAGGCCTGGTGAAAGAGCTCCTGTGCGTCGTCCTGAGGACAATTTAAGGCCAGAAGGTGAATTCGAGAAAAGACGCCCCGAAGAATGGCGCCCGGGAGACAGAGCTCCCATCCGGCGTCCAGATGACAACCTTAAGCCCGAAGGTGACTTCACAACACCTGAAAAAGAAACTTGGAGGCCTGCTGAACGACAGAAACCTACAAAGCCTGTAGATAATTTGCGCCCTGAAGGGGAATTTGAAAAAAGGCGACCTGATGAATGGCGTCCTGGAGATCGCGCCCCTGTTCGACGGCCAGAAGATAACTTAAGACCCGAGGGAGAGTTTTCTACTCCGGAGAAACAGCCATGGACACCAGCAGAGAGACAAAAACCGAAAAAACCTGAAGATAATCTTCGACCCGAGGGGGAATTTGAGAAACGTAAGCCTGAAGAATGGCGCCCCGGTGAAAGAGAATCTGTTCGACGCCCAGAAGATAACTTGAAGCCAGAAGGTGAATTTACAACACCAAAAAAAGACGAATGGCGACCCGCTGAGAGGCCTCAACAAAAGAAACCTACGGACAATCTAAAACCTGAAGGTGACTTTGCTCAGCGTCAGCCTATAGAGTTTGTACCAGCTGAAAAGCCTATTGTAAAAAGACCGGAAGATAATTTACGACCTGAGGGTGATTTTACTACGACAAGATCCATAACAGATGATTACAAAGTGGTAACAGGAGAAAGAGCTGAAATAATAAGACGTACAGATAATATTATTATTGAAGGTGAATTCACGGGTAAGTTAATACTCAAAATTAAAACATATATAATTACTTTTATTGAAATAAATGATTGAATATGTTTATTTCAAGAATTTTAAAATGATTTGATTCATTAAATAGTAAAAAGAAATTATGTACAGCAAGTTTGAATATATAATGTCTCTTATATTAAAGACGATGGTTTATGACCTAAAGTTGTGTGTTCGAATCTCTGAACCATGTATCTATCAGTTTTATGATTCTTATATAAAATGCGCCATCACTATTGCACGCATAGTGGGCCGTGAATCTAAGTTCAGTCCTCCAGCGGCTTATTGGGTCGTTGGAAAATAGATGGAATAATTTATGATGACAGTTCAGCGTACGGGCGCTTGCTTTTAGTTCACTATTCGCCACGGAAATTGATATCTGCAATTTAAATTTTTGAACATATTTGAGGACTTCGTGGCGCAATTGCCAAGGTATTGGCTTCGGCGTTGGGGTCATGGGTTCGATTCCCACACGGGACAACTATTTGTGCGACCCACAGATAATTGTTTCGCATCTGGGTGTTTGTCCACGTGAAATTTATGTTTGTAAAACGTCCTTACAGCATAGGATAATGTTGTTCTAAAGTAAGGGCAATGCTTTTTTTTAAAAAGAAAAAAAAAAAGATTAATCAAGTGCTTTATGTTGCCGCTCATTGCTCATCGCATCATGGTATTTCCTAAATTAAATAAAAAAATATTTAACAGATCAAGTGGAAGACTAGACCCTAAGCCCTTCTGTACCAAAAGAGGCTTTTGCCCAGTCGTGGGACATATATACCTTTACTACTTCAAGATAAGAATAATTATGTATTCTGTCAGATATTATAAACAATTAAACTTTTTATTTATTTACAGATACTACAACATCACGATCTGAATACGTAATTAAACCTGTCAACAAACAAAAACCAGTACGCCGAAATACTTGGACTAAAATAGAGGGAGACATGATTACTGATACTACCACAAAATCTGAATTCATAGATTACACTGATACCATGGAGAGAACAACTCTGATTACACGCAAAACAGATAATTTAACAAACGAAGGTGAAATTGAGTTTGTAACCTCAAATCAAAATGATTATACCGAAAAGAATACTATCATTGAACGTCCACATCGTCGACGTACTTGGACGAAAGAAGATTTTGAAAAGTTTTATTCCACAGAAAATTTGGAAACTACGACTACAACCCAAGAAGAATATATAAACTATGAGACAGTTGATGTGAGACAAAGAAAAATTAAGCCGGCTGATAATTTAAAACCTGAAGGTGATTTTGAAAAACCAAAAATAGAAGAATGGCGTCCGGCTGAAAGACAAACAGCTAAGAGACCACAAGATAATTTGAGGCCAGAGGGAGACTTTGCTTCACCTGAAAAGGACGCATGGCGTCCTGCGGAACGCCCAACCCAAAAACGACCTAAGGATAATTTAAGACCAGAAGGAGAATTTGAGCAACCTAAACAGGATGAGTGGCGTCCAGCCGAAAGACAAACGCCTAAAAAGCCACAAGATAACTTGAAACCAGAAGGTGACTTCACAACTCCTGAGAAAGATCAATGGCGACCAGCTGAGCGACCAACACAAAAGAGACCAAAAGATAATTTGAAACCAGAAGGAGAATTTGAGCAACCTAAACAAGATGAGTGGCGTCCAGCCGAAAGGCAAACACCGAAGAAACCACAAGATAACTTAAAACCAGAGGGTGACTTCACAACTCCAGAAAAAGATCAATGGCTTCCAGCAGAACGCCCAACCCAAAAGAAACCAAAGGATAATTTAAAACCAGAAGGCGAATTTGAGCAACCAAAACAAGATGAGTGGCGTCCAGCTGAACGTCAAATGCCTAAAAAACCACAAGATAATTTGAAACCGGAAGGTGACTTTACTTCACCAGAAAAGGACGAATGGCGCCCGGCGGAACGCCCAACCCAAAAGAGACCTAAGGATAATTTAAGACCAGAAGGAGAATTTGAGCAACCAAAACAAGATGAGTGGCGTCCAGCTGAAAGACAAACACCTAAGAAACCACAAGACAACCTCAAACCTGAAGGTGAATTCACGACACCAGAAAAAGATCAATGGAGACCCGCTGAACGCCCTATACAAAGAAGACCTCAAGATAATTTAAAACCAGAGGGTGAATTTGAGCAACCAAAACATGATGAGTGGCGTCCAGCTGAAAGACAAACACCTAAGAGACCACAAGATAATTTGAGACCAGAGGGTGACTTTGAACAGCCTAAACAAGATCAATGGCGACCAGCTGACCGGCCAACTCAAAAGAGACCAAAAGATAATTTAAGACCAGAAGGCGAATTTGAGCAACCAAAGCAAGATGAATGGCGTCCAGCTGAAAGACAAACACCCAAGAAACCACAAGATAATTTAAGACCAGAGGGCGAATTCACAACTCCTGAAAAAGATCAATGGAGACCAGCTGAACGACCAACTCAAAGAAGACCAAAAGATAATTTGAAACCAGAAGGAGAATTTGAGCAACCAAAGCAAGATGAGTGGCGTCCAGCTGAAAGACAAACACCCAAGAAACCACAAGATAATTTAAGACCGGAAGGTGAATTCACGACTCCCGATAAAGATCAATGGCGTCCAGCCGAGAGACCCACTCAAAAGAAGCCAAAGGATAATCTTAAACCTGAAGGTGAATTTGAGCAACCTAAACAAGATGAATGGCGTCCAGCCGAGCGGCAAAGACCTCAAAAGCCTCAAGATAATTTGAAACCTGAAGGTGAATTTGAACAGCCTAAAACAAGATGAGTGGCGTCCAGCTGAAAGACAAACACCTAAAAAAGCCACAAGACAACCTCAAACCTGAAGGTGATTTCACGACACCAGAAAAAGATCAATGGAGACCTGCTGACCGCCCAATACAAAGGAGACCAAAAGATAATTTAAGACCAGAGGGTGAATTTGAGCAACCAAACAAGATGAGTGGCGTCCAGCTGAAAGACAAACACCCAAGAAACCACAAGATAATTTAAGACCAGAGGGCGAATTCACAACTCCTGAAAAAGATCAATGGAGACCAGCTGAACGACCAACTCAAAGTAGACCAAAAGATAATTTGAAACCAGAAGGAGAATTTGAGCAACCTAAACAAGATGAGTGGCGTCCAGCTGAAAGACAAACACCCAAGAAACCACAAGATAATTTAAGACCGGAAGGTGAATTCACAACTCCCGATAAAGATCAATGGCGTCCAGCCGAGAGACCCACTCAAAAGAAGCCAAAGGATAATCTTAAACCTGAAGGTGAATTTGAGCAACCTAAACAAGATGAATGGCGTCCAGCCGAGAGGCAAAGACCTCAAAAGCCTCAAGATAATTTGAAACCTGAAGGTGAATTTGAACAGCCTAAACAAGATGAGTGGCGTCCAGCTGAAAGACAAACACCTAAAAAGCCACAAGACAACCTCAAACCTGAAGGTGATTTCACGACACCAGAAAAAGATCAATGGAGACCTGCTGAACGCCCAATACAAAGGAGACCTCAAGATAATTTAAAACCAGAAGGTGAATTTGAGCAACCTAAACAAGATGAGTGGCGTCCAGCTGAAAGACCAACACCTAAGAGACCACAAGATAACTTAAGACCAGAAGGCGAATTCACAACTCCTGAAAAAGATCAATGGCGACCAGCTGAACGACCAACTCAAAGGAGACCAAAAGATAATTTGAAACCAGAAGGAGAATTTGAGCAACCTAAACAAGATGAGTGGCGTCCAGCCGAAAAACAAACACCTAAGAAACCGCAAGACAATTTAAGACCGGAAGGTGAATTCACAACTCCCGATAAAGATCAATGGCGTCCAGCCGAGAGACCCACTCAAAAGCGTCCGAAGGATAATCTTAAACCTGAAGGTGAATTTGAGCAACCTAAACAAGTTGAGTGGCGTCCTGCCGAGAGGCAAAGACCTCAAAAGCCACAAGATAATCTTAAACCAGAAGGTGAATTTGAGCAACCTAAACAAGATGAGTGGCGTCCAGCCGAAAGACAAACACCTAAGAAACCGCAAGACAATTTAAGACCGGAAGGTGAATTCACAACTCCCGATAAAGATCAATGGAGACCAGCTGAACGACCGATTCAAAGGAGACCAAAAGATAATTTGAAACCTGAAGGTGAATTTGAGCAGCCTAAACAAGATGAGTGGCGTCCAGCCGAAAGACAAACACCTAAGAAACCACAAGACAATTTAAGACCGGAAGGTGAATTCACAACTCCCGATAAAGATCAATGGCGTCCAGCCGAGAGACCCACTCAAAAGCGCCCGAAGGATAATCTTAAACCTGAAGGTGAATTTGAGCAACCTAAACAAGATGAGTGGCGTCCTGCCGAGAGGCAAAGACCTCAAAAGCCACAAGATAATCTTAAACCAGAAGGTGAATTTGAACAGCCTAAACAAGATCAATGGCGACCAGCTGAGCGGCCAACTCAAAAGAGACCAAAAGATAATTTGAAACCAGAAGGAGACTTTGAGCAACCTAAACATGATGAGTGGCGTCCAGCTGAAAGACAAACACCTAAGAAACCACAAGATAATTTGAGACCAGAAGGCGACTTTACAACTCCTGAAAAAAGTCAATGGCGACCAGCTGAGCGGCCAACTCAAAAGAAGCCTAAGGATAATCTTAAACCTGAAGGTGAATTTGAGAAACCTAAACAAGATGAGTGGCGTCCAAGCAGACAGACAAAAACCTCAAAAGCCACAAGATAATCTGAGGCCGGAAGGTGATTTTACTACACCCGATAAGGATCAATGGAGGCCTGCTGAGCGACCAATTCAAAAACGACCAAAAGACAATTTAAGACCGGAAGGTGAATTTGAGCAGCCTAAACAAGATGAGTGGCGACCAGCTGAAAGGCAAATGCCTAAAAAACCACAGGATAACCTTAGGCCTGAGGGTCAATTCACGACTCCAGAGAAAGATCATTGGCAACCCGCAGAGCGACCAGTCCAAAAGAAACCAAAGGACAATCTTCAGCCTGAAGGTGACTTTGAGAAACCGGAAATAGAAAAATGGAGACCTGCAGAACGCCCAACACAGAAAAAACCAAAAGATAATTTAAAACCTGAAGGTGAGTTTGAACAACCAAAACAAGATGAATGGCGTCCTGCAGAGCGTCAAACACCGAAAAAACCAAAAGACAACCTTAAACCAGAGGGTGAATTTGAAACACCTAAAATAGATCAATGGCGCCCAGCGGAACGTCCTATTCAAAAGAAGCCTACAGATAATCTTAGACCCGAAGGTGACTTTGAACAGCCTAAACAAGATGAATGGCGACCTGCTGAGAGGACAACTCCAAAAAAACCTAAAGATAACCTCAAACCTGAAGGCGAATTTGCAACACCTGAAAAATGTCAATGGAAACCTGCTGAAAGGCCAACCCAAAAGAAACCTCAGGATAATTTGAAACCAGAAGGAGAATTTGAAAAGCCTAAGCAAGAAGAATGGAAAACAGCAGAGCGGCAAACCCCGACGAAACCACGAGATAATCTAAAACCAGAAGGTGCCATGAACATTATTCGAAGGACTGATTATTCCGCAATAAGAGGAGACAGAGTTGACGTAGTTAAACATGAGGATCACTTAAAAATGGAGGGAGTTATAGACATTCATCGCTCAAGGGACGATTACAAACGAATTGAAAAAACAGAGAAAATTGTTATTAAGAAGCATGAAGATAATCTACGGACGGAGGGTGAATTTATAGATCTCCATACTCGTGATGATTACCGTGCCACAAAAGGCGACAGAGCTCCTGTAGTTAAACCACAAGATAATTTAAAACCAGATGGGAAATTTTACAAGCCGGAAACAGTTCCATCACAACCAGCAGAAAAACGTAAGCCTTTTAAACATGTCGATAATATTACAATTGATAGGGATGTCGATATACGTCATAAACAAAAAATTGAACGAGTTGATATTATTAGAAGAGAAGATAATTTAAAGATTGAAGGAGAATTTATTGATATGAAACAAAGGAATGATTACAAAATTATCACTGGGGAGAAGACAGCAATCGTAAAACACGAAGATAACCTTAAGATGGAGGGCAAAATGGAAAATGTAAGATCTTCGGATACATATCGCGTTGTTAAAGGACAAAGAGTGAAATTAACTCGCCGGGAAGATAATCTTAAAATCGAAGGAATTTTTGAAGATCACACCCGTCAAAATGAGGAGAAAACTACTAAGACTAATAGGAGGGCTATTGTATATTACACTGACAAGCCGGAAATTCCAAAAGAAGTGGATGACAGTTATGAACCTCGGCATGGTAGTTTTAGGCCTGAACATGACACGGAACAAAGCTCTAAACCTAAAAAAGCTTTTGGAGACGAGCCAGACACAAGACAACGTGATAACGATATGCCCCTGAAACCTGAAGCTAAGGAAACCGATAAAGGATTAAGAAGACCAGATTATAGGTCACCTACGCAGTCCAAAGATGGAAATTATCCAAGAGAATTCAAAGTGCAGCCTGAATTACCCACACAGTTAGATGATAAATCCAAAATATATGTTCAGCCTGGTGGGACTCCATTAGAGGGTCAATATAGACCACACTGGCAAAGAGAAGATACTCCATCGCAAATACGACAGCCTAAATCTTCTCCAATAGGTAAATCCGAACCTAATCTAGATCAGCCGAAACATTTGCCGCCTGGCGACATTCCTGAACAAATAAGACCCAAAGATAATCTTCACCCTGAAGGCAAATTTCATGATCGACCCAAAACCCAATGGCAACCAGCTGAAATACCGGAGCAGATTCGGCCAAAAGATAATCTTTATCCAGGTGGCAAATTTCAAGACCGGCCAAAAACTCAATGGCAGCCGGGTGAAATACCAGAGCCTAAACGGCCTAAGGATAATCTACACCCTGAAGGCCAATTTTATGATAAACCTAAATCACATTGGCAACCTGGTGATGTACCGGATGCGATTCGGCCGAAAGATAACCTCCATCCAGAAGGTCGATTTCATGATAGACCCAAAACAACATGGCAGCCTGGAGAAACTCCGACACAAGTACGCCCTAAAGATAATTTAAAACCCGAGGGAGATTTTGATCGCCCGTCAAGGCCTAAATGGGAGCCTGTTGACCGTTCTTCACCGATAAGGCCGAAGGATAATTTAAGCACTGTATCAGATACCGGTACATTATCAAGAACGCCTGAAAGCCCCCATGAATTACAATCCAAAAATAAGACAACATATTCTCAAAAGGATATATCGCAATACGATGTAACAAATCAATCATTGAAGCAAACCACGGAATCTAAATATATTAAAAGAAATGAAAATGAATTACATACAGAAAGTTTGAAGAAAACTCAAATAGAAAATCAAACAAAAGAAAGCAAAGGTCAAAATATTCAATCTTACTCTTCGACGGAGCATTCTGCCTTAAAACAACATCAGACGGCCCACTCCAAGCATACTTCAGGCACATCTCAAGATATAGTAGAACGTACTGGATCTCAAACTAATCTAGATCGCGTATCTTACCAAAAGTCCGACAGGAGACATACACAAAATATACATAATGAAACTATTTCACGCAGTAACATAGAAAGGTATGAAGCTCATAAAACAGATGTAAAGAATATTAAAAGTGTATCGACAACAACGAAAACAATTAAGCAAATAAAAGAAAAGAAGTTAATTGGAGGTAAATTTGTTACTGTTACGAGGAACGTAGAAACTAATGTCGTATCAGGAACCGATCATGAAGGTGAAAATTTGAAAAATGATCGCACAACTTCACAAAACAAATTGCGACCGACTGACTCTAATCAGTCCATTGTTTCGTCAGATCAACACGATAGTTCTAATAATATAGTTCATTCCCATCAGCGTTCGAACCATGAAGTTATTAATGATCAAAGACGGCATCTAATTTCCAACAAAACTCACGTGACTAACGAAAGTCAAGAACAGAAAATGTTGAAACAATCCAATAAGCATTCGGCCGAAAGCCATGTTATTAGTCAACAAAGGGGTGACAGTTCTGACAGAGTAATTTCTTCAGAACGCAGTCAAGAAAACGAGAACACAAAACACATTATACATGGAAGCCATGTTACTCAAAGCGTATCACAGTCTAACCAACATTCATCTTCTATAAGCAATGTTTGCAAACATTCAGAGAAAGATAGCGTTCAACGTACAATGTCTTCTGGTCAAATTTCAACACACGAACATCGTCTTAATTCGCAACAGAAAATCGTTTCAGGCCAGTCACAAAAAGTTACTGGATCGACTAACAACGTCATAACTGCAAGTAATGTAGACCAAACAAGCTGCACAAAGTCAACTCAGCATTCAAGCACATCAAACAGAAATCATTTAAGTGATAACGTCACTAAGACAAGTATAGAATTCCAACGAGCTATGCACGGCGGTAACGATGTCACCTCAGCCAATATCGATAATTCAACCCGAAGCGGGTATCACAAGCGAACATCCGATTTAATTTCAGACTCATCTAATACCAATGCCGTACTTCATCGCAAAGGAATTTCATCAAGTAATGAAGCTCAGCACTCTATCAGTTCTACTGCAGCCTCACAACGTAAGAGTATTGGAAATCTCAACGAGCGTGGAGAATACATAAGCAATTCAACACATAGTACAGACAGAAAAAGTATCAGTTCAATGCATCGTTCGGCTCGTGATAATGCGGTTGTTATCTCTCAACACACAGATCACTCGGATTTCCGTCATTCTCAAAGACGTGACGGCCAATCTACAATGGTTGTAGACCGCCAACCACGTGTCACAGTCAGGGACAATCTTCGTGTTGGGGGAGAATTTTACGGACAGTCGGAAGCTCGTTCCTACGGCAATTTTTCACGTTCCGATCAATCACAGAAAGCTGAAAGAACTGAGCGCGTTGAACGCGTAGAAAGAGTAACACGCCACGGTAACACGTCGCACTTTGTGTTGGGAGACGGAGGTAATACTAGCTACAAACGCGAGTTTACTGCTCACGTACATGGTACTTGCCCGGCCTCAACTCTTCAATCGCCAAGTACACCATTCAAACACACCCGTGACTCTCGCGAGCACAAGTTTTATGCGTCGAAAATAACTCATTAACCTTAAAATATTTATAACTTCATGAAAAGCCTAACTTTTGCATTCCTTATTCGGTATTGCTTTTAATTTTTTTATGTTCAAAATAAGAAAGCTATTTCATTTATACATATAATGCAATCTAACATTGCTAGTCGTTAATATTCTTTATTTAACGTGTATTTTATTAAACCCAGCTTAGAGCGCATATTATTTTTAAAATATATTTACAATTTATATTATGTTATTTGATCTTTGCCATGTAATAAAATTTTATACAATATTGATTGTTTTTATATTGAAATCCCAAACGTTAAAACATTGGTATATTGTCACATATGCGAAGTAAACCTGAATATTGTCATGTACATGATTTTAAATTATCTTCAAGAACTATTATTAATTTTTATTACTAAGAGAAAATTATTAACATCCGTAATTTCTGGTAACGACTCCAGAAATTAATTATTTTTTTATTAAAAAATCGGGAAAACTTCATTCATCTGATATCCCTCAAATTAATCACACACGGATCATACAATGCTTCTCTTATGATATACGTGGTTATTATTTTGGTTATTATACCTGTTATTTTTTTTGTCCGTGAAGTTGCTATATAATTTAGCCTGAAGTTGTATCTACAAATCTTAGAATTAAGTTAGTCAAAATTTGAAAACTATGTTAAAGAAGCGAATTATAACTACCATTGTTAATAATCAGTAAAACTCGCAAATAAACAGCTATTGTCAAGCTTTTATTAAAATTTTCTATAGAAGTTAAATGAAATACTTGAAACTTATAAAAGTACAAAATAAAGTAAATGTTATTCTAAACTAATTTATATAATATTTTAAATTTTAAAATTCTTAGAAATTACTGCTAAATATAAAAACCAAAAAGATGAACTGATGCTTATTTAGGAAGCGTTTTCCTGAAGAACGGGAGTCTGCTTAACACGTCTAATCCTTTTGTAACGTCCTAAGTCACCTTCATAGTTTCGCGGGAGAGGTCCGAACGCGTCATTTTCTTGATAGCCTGGGATATTCATATAGTTCTCGGACACTGTCCTTGCTTCGTTGTCCTGTAATGGAGTAGATCGAATGCGGCGTTCGTTTGCGACGTCATTTACTGTGTCTTCTGATGATTTTTTAATATTCTCGAATTCCTCGGATGCCCTTCTGGTACGAGATCCGCTGCTATACATTAAATTCTCATTAACACCTTCCACGCCAGTCATTACGTTGTCAGTGTCCGAACCAAGACTGATTGTGTCAGTATCACATTTGCTATTTCTATCATAAAAATGCGCAGATTTTTGTTTTAAAATGCTATCACTTGATTTTGGACTATTAGGGTCGAAGAGATTATTCACATTATTTTTTGCATAATTTGAAGTACGATCATAAAATCCATCGTCATCAAATTCACTGCCTTCTTCATTGTCTTCATCATCATTTTCACCTTTATTAGGAAAATATGGTACATTCGAATCTGCCATAACGTTTGCCGCCCTTTTTACCATGGCTGATTCAGCATTTCGCCTTTTAACTCTTATTAATGGCGCATCAGATTCCAAACACGAATTTGATTCGTCATACGCGTTGGAATTAGGAAATGATTCTTCTAAAGACTTTAATGAATCAGAAAAATTTGAAGATTCATCCACATACGCTTCCCTTTTTAAGTTGTTTTTATAAGGAGAATGTTGTTCAGTTTCATCGTTTATTGTTTCTGCTAGTTCACCATCATTGGAAAATATTTCTTGACTATTTTCAGATCCTTTACATTCTTTCGGATTCAAATTACTGTCGGATTCTTTCGTTTCATCAGGTGTCTTTAATATATTTGCCAATTCGCTAACATTGGCTGAACGTTTATTTTCAGTCTTCGGCACTGCTTGAGAATTAGATACTAAATCTACTTCGGTATCAGATTTTTTTGTATCTAAGTCCAAGTTACTCTCTGGTTTTGTTTCTTTTACATCATTTTGATTAACTAGTTCTGCTTTATTTTCTGTTTTTTCACTACCACCAGTATTTTTAGACGGAACTACATCACCTATTTCAGCAGTGCTCATAGTCCTCTTGTTTTCAGTGGTTTCATGAGACATTGATGATTCAGTATTAACATCTTCAACGTTTGATGAACTAACTCCTTGATTTTTACTAGAATCTAACTGTCCATTCTCTATATAATTGTTCTCTTCCACAGCACCAGCTTTCTTTGTTATTTCTCGTTTGTTTTTTCCTTCGTTGTCGTCATCATAATCATTTTCCATAATTTTCTTTAGTAAACTTCTTTTATCTTCAGAAAGCGAATTAAAAAGTTCTTCGAGTTCTGATTCAGATAGTTTTTTAATGTGCCTTTTAATGGCGGACTCCTCATTTTCATTTTCTTCGGCAGAAAGGATTTGCTCATTCATTACTTTTGAATTACCTTTTTGTACTTGACGTCTATCGCGATTAATATTTAGGCGTAATTTTTCATATTTTTTGTATTCAGGAAAATCTCTATTTCCGAGAGGGACATTATAAAGTTGCTTAGAGTAACGTGATTGCATATTAGCATCAGCATTTTCTCTTTCATATTCACTTTTATCTAGTTTATTTTCTTGCTCTTTGTTATTTTCAAACAATAAATCACCTTCCTCATTGGCACTTAAAGATAACATGGCTCTTTTATTTATGCTATTGTCACTTAAGTGCTGTGTTGGCTCCTGTTCGTTATTATCAGCATACGCATCGGTTTGCCTATATCTTAAAATTGGCCTCATATTAGAATCCACATTTGTATTTTGTGTTTTATCATTGCGAACATCCCGGCTACTTCCGGATAGCTCTGAAAACTTAAACGATCAATTATCATATAGGTACGAGTGCATAAATGAAATAAATAAAAATATCTCACTATAAAACTCAATGATTAATATTTACATTATCGAGGTGAGGGAGCCCAACTGGTTGGGAGTTAGAAGTTCCATGCTTATACGAATTCAACTCTAGCGCCCGATTTACTTGTAGAATATCCTTTTTGTTTTGTCCGTTAACTCTGCCTCCCTGAAAAAATCAAAAAGCAGGTCAACTATTTGCCAATTCATTAGTTAAAATATTTTTTAATAGTGATCGGATATTTTTCTGCTAGTACTGATAGGAAGACGGTACTTATTTAATTACATAATATTACCATATTTCGGGAGAGCAGAATAGTAAGCATGCGTGCGCATGGCAGTTATTATAACTATGTAATCCCCCAGGAAACTTATAACAACAAAGATTAAATATTTACTTGAACGTCCATCAATGCCTCCTGATCATCTGGTGCGTAGTCATCTGCTTCACGTTCATCATTGTTTTCGTATTCGGCTTCCCCGGTGTCTCTACAATTTTTTTAAGATAGGTAGTATAAAATATATACATAATAATAAAATATCTTTATTCACATAGACGCTTGCGCGTTCTTATGAAACGTCGAAATTTTACAAGGAAATTAATATGTTCGTAAGTTACCACCGGTTCGGAAAGCAGTTTCTGTTGAGAAGAAACCGGCAAGAAACTCATCAGCTTTGCTCTTTTTCAAAAGGTCAGTTTACAATATAATGTTACAGGTATAATAGTCTTGTTTTAGCCTACGTAAGTATCAACAGTATTAACCCCACACATTGGCGTCGTCGAGATATTCAGCAATAGTATAATATGCTTTAGCCATAAGTTTACTTTTAACTTTTCGTTTAAATTCATCAAGTGGCAGACTTAATATCGATTGTGGGATTTTATTATACATGCGCACAATTTGCCCCATGAACGACCTGTTTACTTTTTGTAGACGAAACAATGGCGTAGTTAGTTTGGCCTTATTTCTAGTATTTAGTTTATGTCTGTCACTATTCTTTAGATAATTATTAATATTATGTTTAACATACAAAATATTACAATAAATATATTGAGACGCAACAGTGAGTATATTAATCTCTTTAAAAAGGTCTCTGAGTGGTACAAAATCAAATATCTACGTACAAATTACAAATAAATTATTTTTCTTAAATGTATATTTATTTCCTAAGAATGTTAAGTTACCAGTGCTGAATATTTTTCGACTATTTTTAGCTTAATTTAGCTACACTCAGATTCACATTTAACACTATTCCAAAAAATAATATTAATTTTACTCATAGTAACAACTTTTGTCTGGTTTGTCTCCTTTCTATTTTTTGGCCAAGAGGGACATCTTATTGGTACTACACAGATAATAAAAAACCAAATTTTTATTATAATTCCACTAAAACCCAAATTTAAGTGGAAGTATTTTGAAGACTCTGTGGCGCAGTTGCCAAGGTATTTTCATCGGCGTCGTGGGTTCGATTCACACACGGGACAACTATTTGTTGTGACCCACGGATGGTTGTTTCGCATCTGGGTGTTTGTCTGCGCGTAAATTTATGTTTCTAAGACCAGACTAATGTAGCTTTCGAGCTAGTAGTCGATGTATTTCGAGCTAGTATTGATAATCTTTTTTTTTTATAAGATAGCAATACTTCTATGCCACAGCTATGAACGATATGGGAAGGACAAACAACTTAAAGAAACTGTAGCGCTCCTATCGTTTACTGATAATCAAAACGCCTTCAAACCATAATACCCCGTGAAGCTCGTCAACTGATACAGCCGGTTAGATTAGAAGTTATTAACAGGCAAATGGAGGCTATAATATGGCCTACGCTTTTCTTCAATCATCAACGGAATATTAAGGTCAAAAACGGGTTATGCGATCAAATAACTGAAAGGACAATACGATTAAGAATACAGACATACCTATTTTGGCCGTCGAGTACCTGTAACGGTTTTCCTCTAGCATGAGAAAAAATGCAAGCAATCACAGCAAATATTATGAAAGTACGCATTCTAATTTTTTGACACAAAGAATATAAAATTGACAATTTTTATGACATGACTTAAGTTTAAATACAATTCTAAGTTATAGTTTTATTTTTCTGCTTCTTGACAAATTGGTATTTTATGCTTGCTGTATTATATTGATTACGGTTTAGGTAAATTGTAATGCAACAATATTCTTTTTTAATTTTTTTATAAATCATGTAGTAATTTGAATGTTTAACCTCTTAATTCCTGATCAGGTGAAAAAGATAAGAATTGTGGCTACGAACCATGGTAATAGAAGGATTTTAGAGTTCTGTAAATAATGTGAATTGTAGCTTAACTTAGTCAAGGAGTTAATTTGAAGAACTGTGGTTTGAATTTTTAGTGGTGTTGTAAGTTTAAAACCTTCGGCTGCGGCAAGGCTGTGCAAAGTTTTTATGTAAAGATGGTAAGCGGGCTGCAGGTTTAATTAATGCCATTAACATTTGCAACACCGAAAGAGTTGCAGATGCGTTGCCACCTTTTAATAAAGAGGGCTTCGGCTACCTCACTCACCAGACGAAATATAGAAGTATAACACTTGCTCTTCACGTTGGTCTTCTGTGAGGTCGTATTGCTTATCCGAACGGACCTGCCCATTCGTGAGAACTACATACTATGTTTTACAAGACGTTTGTTTAAACATGCATTCGGATGCTAGCGACTCTGCTGTTGTAAGGATAAGCCCGCTTGTTTGAATATGTACTAGTTACCTACTATATACAGTACCCGGAGGACCGAGCTTTGCTCGGTTTGTTTATTTTTTTGGTAAATCGTGTATTTCATTTTGGAAATTACATTTAGATACAAATTACTGAGTAATGAAATATGCATAATATTTTTCGATATTACCGACTTAATAATAAGAAAATATGAACTGATGTTTTTCTCAAAAGAAAGAACTTTTAAAAAAAGGGAAAAAAATAACAAAAAAAGAAATCGATAAAAAATTAAAAATAAAGAAAGCAATGATCTGGAATCGAAAAAAAAGTAAAAAAATAAATGTGTAAATGATGGTGACGCGAACCACGGCCTTCTATTTTGGAGCCGCCCGATTTATTATGACATTTTCTCTTGCGGCGAAATTTACCGTCATATTCGAATAATATTTTTCATTCCCTGAAAACAGGGATAAAAGGAAATTTTCTGAAAATGAAACCTAGCTAGATCGATTTTTCGCCCCCAAATCTACGCATATACTAAAATTCATGAAAATCGCTGGAGCCGTTTCCGAGATTCCGATTATACATATATATACAAGAATTGCTCGTTTAAAGGATAAGATAATTATTTATACTTATGCGTTCGCATGATAACAAATATACCCTTACCCATTGTGTTGAGCGAAATACTATGTCTGAGCCAATATGGTCCGGTATTTCATCCTCTTTCTCTAGCGGTAAAGAAGAATTGTTCATACTTCTGCATTTAATCTGGCGAATAAGATAACCGGGAAATTACATCCCAAAATTAACGCTGATATTCAAGAGCGCCCGAAATTATTTGCCAGATGACAGATGATGACTTTCTTGATCGACATCTGTCTTAAAAAGCACTAAGTAATTCGCATCAATAAAACCTGAAGCATCTTTTGTCATTATAACGTCTCCGTAAGATTCAGTTCTAGATGTATTAAATTAATTGTTTTATTTGGCGTTAGATTTGACTGAATTAAAATACAGATAATACTTACAACAGATTTATTTTTAAATGAGACCCTTTCATCTCTATCACACTTATTATGTACATTAATTTGGTTTAAATAAACAAACCTCTGAAATTACAGCAATTATTTAATAAGTTTGTGCATATTTGAGAATAAAAAATAAAACATTTACATCTTACATTTAATGTCATACAAATATTGAAAGAATAGGCTGAATTAATATATATGCTCGATCACACGAATCGGTCGAGCGACAGGAAAGCTTTACCTGCAAGTAATAGTTTCTATCAACAACACAATCTCTTCGAAATGCAAAATGTAAAAGAAATCCGTTTCCATTTCGACGCAACTGGTAAACAAACTTGGTTTGATACAATCGCGCTAACAGAAATCTAAATTACCCATCCGGTAATTGGCTAATTTTGTAATTTAGCTAAACTTTGGCATTGGTTCCTTCCACCAACGTTATGGCAGTCATCGGTTTTAGATATGAGTGTCCAATAAATATTAATCAACAACTCTTTCATTTTAGACACAAGTTTAGAATTACAAATGTTATAATATTTTATATATCTGAAAAAGATAAACAAATTTAAAGGAAATTTCGATATCACATGTTTCCATTGCCATTGTTCTCAAAACCAGCTCTGCATATGTAGGTAGGTATCATCTAAATTTAGAAAAACACTTTGATAAAAAAAATACAATAATATCTGATTAGGCTTCAATATAATAAATGTTGTGCTTATTTCCTTTATCACAATAACAGTACAGTAATTCACATAGTAAACTAACAAATTATTATCTATCAAATAGTAAAATTTCTTTAGAAGTCACATTTTCTTCTTTACACTATCTCAACATGTTCTTAAAGTTTCTTCGCGTAAAATACCGATTCGTTCAACGTAACATATACAAATGTAATAATTTTCTCGTCTATACATATAATTTCCTCACAACAAAATAACAGAGACGACCAGGTCGGGTTTTGTACATAGGGGACAGTTAAAAATGCAGGCGTTGTCCACGAACAACAGCTGTCCGCAGTGGGAGTGCAAAAGGTGCAGTTTCGTTTCAAAATCATCGATGACTAGACTCTTAAAACATAATAATATGAGCATTAACAAAAACAAGAAATAAAGAAGAGTACGCAGTGCGTCCGTATTAACGACTACGAGCTGTACACTCAAGATAATGTACGCAATGGACGCAATTGATGCAACGGTGACCAGACGGAGTGTGGCGGGAGGGGGGGGGGGGGGGGGGGTTTAAGTCACGAACCATTTCACAAGTTGCGAGCGTGTAACGTCTATGTACGAACTTAAACCTAAAAAATAGCCCCACTACTTCCGTAGTTCAACTACCATGTAGTGAAATGCATACACGCTTCGCACGTAGAGAAAGGAAAAACAAATTATATGATATATTACAATAATATTGTCAAACCAAAAACGCACGCGTCACGAACGCGTGCGCACATAAAAACCTACCTAAGAAACGGGCCTCAACTCAATCGCACCATACGCACACACGGATATGTTTGCGACAAAAGCTTACAGAGAACCTCAACAACGACTCAGCTCATATTTACAAAGATCTTAAACGATATCTCTATATAAATTACATTTAAAAAGGAATACGGGCTTAATGTAGACATGCTCAATATTTTTATAAAGCGTGTGCAGAAGATAACGTGGTTGCGTTAAGGACGTGACAGGTTTCAGAAAGCCAACCTTTTATGGGTGAACGTTCAGTAAATGCTTGAGCAATCGCTGAATTTTTCGTTAATATCAAGTAGAAAAATGTCAAATAGGAAATATTTAATTTAATCATGAACCAAAAGGCGCTTCGAAATTCTTCGGACGATGCTTTCGCCATTACACACTAGCATGCAACATTAGCGATTTAAATGCAATTCAATAAAGTGAACACTTTCAAGTTTCTAATTACAACAGATGCTGTACTGATAGAGAACTATTAATGCATAATTTATCCAAATTCCATAAGTAAAAACTGCTCAGTGATATTCGAGTAAATATTCACAATACTTATAAAAAAAAATTATCACTTAACGCTGAACATGAATCGTAGAAGTATTGATCGTTTTATATATAAAAAGAGTTCAAACTATAAAGTAGCTCGAATAAAAACGATGAGTAGAACGTTTTAAGACCACATTGAACACTTACACTGCCGTAACTTACAGTCTAAAGTTAAAAGTTCGGACCGTGCCGGTGAGTTGCACGCACGTTGCACGCACGAATGCATACGCTGGGAATGTGTGACGAGTCGCGACATCGCCTCTCTCGCTCCCGCAGCACGCTCAACACCCTTACAGTAACGGCTACGTGCGACGGTTACATCGAGTACTACATTCACTAGCTCAGACTTGAAACGATAGAAATTGTCATGAAGTATAGGGAGTCTCGCATCGCGCCGTCCCTCTCCGACTGTACGGCGGCGACGAGGACACGTAGCGCGCCTTCGCCGGACTGCCGAGCTCACTTGGGCGCTTCGCTGCCTAGCGGTGCGTCGAGTGGGAGCGAGTCGGCACGATTGGCGACGCTGTACGCGGGAGCGGGAGCGCTCTACTACAATCGGTCGAGCCGGAACTCGTGCTCGACCGAGGAGTCGGGTAGTAGAGCGCTGGGCTCCTCTAGTAGGGTGAGGTCGTCCAAATCCAGGCCGGCCCGTAACTGCGCCTCCTCACCGCCGAATATGCCCGCGTCCAGTTCCCCCGAATAATCTGTTAACCGTTTAATGCATATAAATTATCAAACTCAAATGATACACTACATTTAAATAAAACATAAAAAAATAATAATCTAAAATAGGCGTTATTAGTCGACTTCGCACCTTCGACAGTTTTGTCGCGGTACATAGAATAAGGTATGTGAATAAGGTATGTTTAATAAGGTATCTGTACATTATGAGAATTAAACCTTATTAGAGAGGTAAACAGTATTATGCGACAAAACATAAAAATTTTACAGGAGAGGCAAAAATGCGTTGAGTGAATCATTGATTGCATTATTGAGTATGATGTCATATACGATTGGATATTTTATTAATTAGGCGTCGTAGGACTTACCTAATGCTTTATGCTATTGCGTAGAATTTGTTCTTGCGATTTTAATGGTGTAGGAAAGATAAATTTGAAAAATGTGTATTTACTATTGTATGCCTCTGAGGTACAGATTTAATTTTTGAAATTAATTAAAAGTTCTCGAGTGGCAGCCTCGTACTGGCCTTCGTAGATGGAGTGACGACCTGTGCAAGTGTGCGGAAAGTCGATGGATGCAGGTGGCTCTGGACCGTACTTCGTGGGAGTCTGTGGAGGCCTACGTTCAGCAGTGGACTCAAATGATGATCAGGCTGAAATGATGATGATGATGATGATGAATTATACAGCGTGTCTTTACAATCGCGACAGTAAATGAACACACATATAGAGGATAACTCTTTAAAATTGTATTAAACATTTACATTCTTTAAACATCAATGTTTACAGAGTTATTAAATTTTCCAAAACAAAGAGTTTTAGAACACCCTTACGTATAAACTGTAACGTGAAGTTCATTTGTAAAGGTCACAAAGCATATGAATGGGTTGAAAGAATTTAAAAGAGACAAAACATACTGATGCAAACACGAGAGGCTTGTAATGCGACGCTGTGGCAACGAATGAAAAACTCTCAGAATGTATGAATCAGTCAGTTGTAGTTGTATAGGATGTTACAAATTTTGTTTCTTTCTTACTAAATTAGTTAGTTTGAGAAATATAGTTTTTTTTAATTATGGATTTTTTAACGTTAACATTTTTTTTATGATTATTGTCAAGTAGCGTTAGACGCGTGTTCATTTAATGTCGCGATGGTAACGACACGCTGTATAAAACCGTCGCAAGGTTGTCCGTGGAATAGGGCGGGCTCACCGGTGAGTATGATGTCGGGTATGCTGGCGGGCGTGGCGGGCGTGGGCGGCGCGGAGGGCGAGGAGAGCGGCTGCAGCGCGGCGAAGGCGCCGCCGCCGGCGACGGGGTCGCGCGCGCGCCGCGCCCCCTCCGCGTGGCCGCCGTGCGACACGTGCGACACGTGCGCGTGCTGCACGTGCTGCGCCTGGAAGGGGCACCGGCACTTAGCCGACCTATTTGGATCCGATAAGAGCCGTGATAGCTCAGTGTCCGGGCGCTCGCCTTTAATTCAATATACTCGAGCAACCTGAGTTCGATCCCCGGTGCCGGCACCAATGAAGTTTTTAACTTTAAGTGCTGATTTATCACGTGCTCCGCGGTGAAGGAAAACATCGTGAGGAAACCTGCATATTTTCGAAATAATAACAAAAAATATTTCGAAGATATGTGAAGTCCGCCAATTCGCAGTGAGGCCGCGTGGTGGACTATGCCCTGATACCCTCTGTATAGAGGAGGCCTTTGCCCAGCAGTGGGACATGTATAGGCTGTTACTTTACTTTTTACGTCGATGTATCGATGTGAAAATATAGTCAATACTTTGGGACGCATTGTTGCACAATATTCTCAAGTCCCAAACTAAGCAACGCCTTTACTATGGGTGCTATATAACTGATGAACTTACTTGCTTACTCAAGCATACTTTTCTTATGTAAATTAATACATTTTATACATATACATATAAACACCATATATATGATAGTGAATATACAAATCATATCAAAAGCGATATTTTTTTTAATTTCTAGTCCGGCACAGAGAGACGACAAACTTTTTTTTTTTTTGGACAACGATTCCTTTCTCTTCGACATATTGAGGCCGATTTGATATTTTTATAAATAACGATATATCGTTTATTTTTATATTATTTGATTCCGTTCAACATTTGTAAGAAATGTGCTGTAACTGCAACAAATAAAGGAGACAATATATTATAAATAAAGCGTACCTGAGAATATGTGTGTTGCGAATTCGTCGTCTGTGACGAGTGCGGTGAGCTGTGATTGATATAACTCGTGTTATAACTTGACGTCGGAGGGTCCAGCTAAAAACAAATATAGCTAAATTAAGATATAGTACAATTAACCAAAAAATAAAGCAACAAGATAGAGAAATTGATAAAAAATCACATGACTAGTTGAAAGAGAAGCATGGAGAGTAAAAAAAGTTTGTAAGCGAGGGGGTTGTAAACCCCAGAGCGAAGTTATCTACAGTCCATCTAATAAACAAAACTGAAAAGGAATGTGTATATACCATCATAATGTTGGTCTATTAAACGAAACAAACGCCCAAAAACAATCTCAAATGTCATACATTAGGAAAATGTCCAAAGGGCATGCTCTATAGATTTAAAAATTATCATCTAACTAACCGAAAATTCGACATGCGTTTAGTGTGCCGAAACCTTAGTGCGTTTGTAATATCAAAAAGGTACTAAATACTCTACGAAGTAATAATAACCCAGGATGTATTTATCTTGTTTGAAGAGTGTATTAAAATAAATAACACATTATGTAACAGAGACTGCGCAGTTCATGCTCCCTAATAAAATAATACGGAACTAAGAAAAATAAGCCTATTAAATAAAATATGTTTAACAAAATCTATAAAAAATATTGTAAGAATCATGTTTAAGTAATTTAATTACTACGACATCTATAATGGTATAAATCTGTTAATATTTCAATTTATAAAAGTACATTTCATTATTAAAAATACTATAATACCATTACAGATAAAAGTAAAAGTTCTCGATAAATAATCGATTTAAGATATTGACCTATATGCCCCAAATTGATTATTTATCAATGCGTATTGCCAATTTAAATAAAATATTGCGTCGGTGCCGCATTAGTGTGCGCAAACTAGGAATCGAAAATGTTCGTGCCTCTATCGTATTATGCCACCTCTACGTTTATGACCACGTTTGCAAAAAGGTAAGGTGAAAATTAAACCACACATTCCATTAAACTTATAATGAAATCGTTATAGCTAAGAGATGTATTTAACAAACGATATTAACCAATTTTTCTTTTCTTAATGACTTAATTATGAGACACCGTACATTAGTCGATCGCGAATATGTTTATTGTTTATAATAAATTTATGTTAGTTGGGCCACTGTCACAATGTCCGTAGCAACTGTGGTCAGACGCGTACAGGTGGCGCTAGCGGTCCAATAACAAACACTACACTGATCTCAACGTGTACGTTTGTGTGTCGTACGTTGTCCGATACTTGAACGTGCGCGGTCCATCCCGACTCGACGAGACTCTGCACCAGCTGCGCCCAGTCCTTGGCCAACACCAACGTTACGTTTACGCACACACAACAGTTTTACGTCTACCCTACGCCACAGTCTAGTGAATCGTGCACTGTATCAGTCGGATTCATTAGACTGTGCTCATACGGCGGTGCTGATAGTTTGCGACTAACAAAAATCACCTTGTCTATTGCGTCGCGTTGTGATTTTACTGTTAAACTTCGAACACTTAATACTCAGAGGTAAATTACATACGGTGATTGTGTATGTTTGTGGAGTATTAGGTGTTATACAAATATTGGAAATATCTGGGATTCAGAAGTTATTCCGTTGAAATGGACGCGAATTTCACATGACAACAAATATTATTTTATTTTATTCAAAAATTAAGTGTCACGTATTTTTAAAATGCCAATGGCGTGCAAGTTTTTTTGCTAGTGTCAGCAACTAGACAAAATGTTATGCCTATCCTGAAGTACACCGACATCTTACTCAAAAATGTGCACCCACCAACTAACATAGCCCTTAATATGTGATTATAAAAAACAACATGTTTGCGCATTGTTTTAACGAATTTCTGCACAACAACGCCTGATTCTAATACAAAATATTGTAATATAAAAATGGGATAAATGTCCATATACAGCGTGTCTTTACCACCGCGACAATAAATGAACACACGTCTAACGCTACTTGCCAATAATCATAAAAAAATATTTTTCAAATAAACTAATTAATTAAAAAAGAAACAAAATTTGTAACACCTATACAACTACAACTGACTGATTCATACATTCAGAGACTTTTTCATTCGTTGCCACAGCGCCGCATTACAAGCCTCTCCTTCTAACAGTATGTTTTGTCTTTTTAAATTCATTCAACCCATTGATATGCTTTGTGACCTTTACTAATGAACTATACATTAAAGTTTTATATGTAAGGATGTTCTATAATTCTTTGTTTTGGAAAATTTGATAGGTCGAAAAATATTGATGTTTAAGAATGTAAATCTTTAATAAAATTTTAAAAAGTTATCCTCTATGTGTGTTCATTTATTGTCGCAATGGTAAAGACACGCTGTATATTCATACATATAATAAAATCTTTTGCACATTACATATCTTAGACAATATTACAGTTAGGGTAACTTGTAGCGCAGCTTGGCTACTAAGAAACTAACATTAAAGAGATGTTAAAAATATAATTATACATTATTATAAGTGCATGTTATAGTAAAGAATTCCAAATTATCATTGTAGACTACACTGTTATAACAATAAACAATTAATGTGTTTTTGTTTAAATTTAAATATTAATTAGTGCTGTGGTGACTGACAATTACTGTATAAGAACCTCTAATGGGATGTATAGTTGTTCATTTATATTTTCGACGTTTGAATAAATATATAAATTGGTAAGTGCTCTCTAGAGTAAGTAACTATGGTGCGATTTATCATGTGCTGCATTTCTGTTCTAGATGCATTGATGTCCAATTTGTGTTTTGGTATTTCAAACCCAACCACATATATTTATCTGACATTTATCATACTAATGAAGCATTTGTGTATAAAACATCAATATTGCACAATTACTTACAACTCCTTGCTAATCCATTGAAGCATAGAAATGTCAAATTATTTTTAAAACAAATCATTAGCGACGAAAGGGTGTAGTAAAAAAAGTTCCAAAATTCCACTTATTATATTGTTTATAAAGAATTTAATTAATTATGAAATTCGTATACTTTTGTGTTATCAAACTTTCGTCAACAGCAAGTCGGTTTTTTGAGTCATGTACTGGAATTCACCTCTCTTTGGACGTGACTATTGTTCCATATTGTTCATAGTTGTACATATACTCTTTGGAAGCTCATTCATTAAAGCTAAAAATTTATATAAATAAAGAAAATCTAGTATGTAGCCTAGATAATTATGCAAAGCCTTACAGATTTCTGAAAATTTATTTAGCAAAATTAACAGCTAACAGAAATGGAGTCATGTAATTCACTGATCCATATCTATTCCTTAAAATAAAGTCATTTCTCAGATAATGGAAAAAAAGGATGATGAATACAATGAACCAAATTTTGTTTAAATCACAATCATGATAGATTTTGCTTTATGATTGAGTATATATAAATCGCAATTTTTAATAAAAATAACATCTTGTAATTACTTTGGTTAACGGTGACGATGTTGGTGTGACGAATGAGTATACAGTGAATTTAAAAATTTACGTTTATAATAAGAACTATCTTTTTCTTGTACTTACTTTGAGTTAATTATAAAGTAAATGCCTTGCATAGACCTTTGCATCTTAACTAGCCTAGCTTGCTTACATGTTACAAAATCTTATTTAATTATTGAAATTGGGATTATTGCAAGCCCGTTACATTATTACTTTTACTTACTTTGCATTCTTTTTACTATTATTCGAGACATACCTATTTTGATTCAAATTTTATACATGACAATGCACAGACATAAACTTACCATTGTAATTTGCTCAAATGGCTGTAGAAGCGCTTGATGTAAATTGTTGTAGTCCGTTTGCGGGGACTCCACAGGACTCCCTGGACTGTGCACCATCTATTAAAAGAGAGGAGAAAAATTTAAGTATTTGAGACTACTGAATTAAGAGTACGGCTAATAGTTATTTGAAGTTATGAATTACTAATAATTTATAATTATATAGGTGGATTCTAAAAGGTATTTAGTGGGTTTTGGTGTTTTAACTACATATAATATAGCACTAATTTTTGTTTGTAACATTATTTCATAGTGTACTTTTATACTTGTAGCAACTTAATTATACTTGTAGCAACAGGTGCCTCTCAAAATTATTTGTATAGTAAATATTTTGACCATTCAGGGCATTATATCGTGAAAGCTGATTGGGACTTAAATGACATAATTTAAGCCTAAGGGACAATGACTGTAAGGTTCAGTTGCCAAGGTAATGGCTTCGGCGCCGGGGGTCGTGGATTCGTTACCCACCCGAGACAACTATTTGGGTGATCTATAGATAATTGTTTCGGATATAGGTATTTGTCCAAGTGAAATAGATGTATGTAAAACATCCTTACATGATAAAGTTATCCTACAGTCATGGGGCAAAGTCTTCGAAGGGAAGACTTCAAAAGATCTTTCTAGGTTGCAATGGATGTTGGGACATATTACGACTAGAAGGAAATTTTTTTTTAATGTTTAACATTTTATATTCTGTTATTTAACTTTAGATTTACATTTTGGTTCTCTTCTATATGAATATAAAATAATAATAGTGAACAACGAAATGAGCAACAATATAAGAACCAATTTTTCGAAACAATAAAAATCAATAAAAATGATTGAATACCATTTTTCCAAACATTGTATGCATAATTTTTAATATTTCTATACATAAAAGAAGATAATATTACGTGACATGGACAAAGTTATTGATTTTAAACGTGTTATTGAATGCCACTTTTATATGTAATAAAAAAAAAACGAAAATAATACTCACTGTCGGCGAAGGTACATTTATATTAGACGTGGAGGAATATTGAGAAGGCGGACTACAGTGTGACTGATATCCAGACGTTATCCAATTGTGGTCTAGCGGCGACATGTTCTGCAAATGGTCAGAGTGACCGCGTTATATTACGAAAACAAAATAAAAAACAAAATAAAAAGTATACAATTTTGAAAGCTTTGCTCAGTGGCTTGCTGGAAGAACTATCACTGGATAAGTATAGAATTCGGACCATAATTACGGTGTAAAAAAGTAAACGTAAAGCGTAAAAAAAATTGATAAGTGAATTAAAATTGATTTTGAAACATCTCAATATTTACTTTTTTAAACATAAATAAATGATCCGAAAACCCAAGCAGAAACATGCTGTTAGAACTTTAAATTTTTGGCAAGTTGTTAAAGGTACTTTACATTTTGTTAATTCTCACGAAATATATGTTTTACGAACTATGTAACTATCATAAAGAACTTTGAAAAAACGATTGAACATAAAATAGAAAGAATAAAGTGAAAAAAAAAAAACAAGATTTTTTTAGATAAAAAAAAAAAGCTTTCAAGTGCATTTTTGACCATGTCATAGAAATGTTGTCAAAGTAATAAGTAGCAACAAAAACTATTTCGTGAGAAAATGATAAACTACCTATTAGTGATGAGGCTTAGAGCGTGAAGATTTCATGATAAATTAATGGGTTGCCATCATATTTACATCTTCATTTAGTTAGATTAGAAAAGTTCTGTATACCACAGCAGTACGCACTTTATTTTTTAATAAAACCTAAAAATCCCTTGCTAAGCAGTTTGATATTTGTATCTTCGCGATTTTGTTACACTGTTCTCATCTTCATATGATGAGAACAATCTTACAAAATCGCATAAGATTATACAGACATAAAAACACCAGGCTATCTTATTTATTACCGTCCTGACTTCAGAGAATAAAGATAACTTCGTACAAAGCATTTAGTCTTTATTACGTAAGGCTTTGCGAAAGTTTATGGTATTGGCCACTTACACAAAAAAATGGAGTTCGAAAATGGAAAGCTCTGGTAATATGTAAATTTTAAATATAGACTAGCGTTTTTTTTCCAATGTGACGTCCTTTTAGAAAATTTTCGCCCAATATTTTTTTACTATTATCGCCGCGGCTAAAATCTAAAAGGCAGTTACTAGAGGCAGCTACGGGCATTTTGTCATGAAACCCCTTATAGTACGTGAAGGTCAGCCGGCAACTGTGGTTACAGAATCAAATATTTATAACGTACGGCATGATTGAAACTAAAAAAGAAATTAGTTGTCAGCCAATTGGTACTGCATTAAGCGTTGCAGAGACAAGTGCAAAACATTTTGCACGAGCATCTGTAGGTTTGGAGGCTTTGGATACGATTGATACAATTTAAAGGAAGACAAGAAATTGAGCGTGCCGAATGGTGCCGTACAATGATAAAAAATAGAATAATGAGGGAAACTCGCTGGCTGCCTACAACATCATAATATGTGATGAAACCTGTGTGGCTGAATGGGTTTGAATGCCGTCGAAAGATTAATAAAAAGTCCTACTTTCAACTTTCTTTTGTTTCAGTAAATACTGGCACTAAGTTAATTTGTCGCTTGCGATCGAAAGAACATACAAGCAGATAAGTATGTAAAGAATGCCCAGTGTTAGAAAAAGTTTGCAATATCTCGTACAACCATTCCTCAAAGATAAAGGGTTCCAACCATTCCTCAAAGATAAAGGGTTCGTATTTAAAGTTCTCAAATGTGATGATGACGCATTTGGCATTTATTTCTTTAAAATAAAGCTGACAGTTTACAAGCCCGGAAGCGACGGTGAATGCATACCATGAGACCATTTAAAGGGCCTCTACTAAAGAACGAATGTAAAAATGTGTGAATAGTGTGGGCATATACCGCGAATATCAATAATTAAACAAAATGCCTTGTCTTATTTATCTAAGCCAGAATCTTTCAAGATGATCTAAGTAGATAAATTTGGACAAATTGTAAAAAAGTAATTCAATCCATAAATTTTATCTCAACTTGTTATACTAACTTAGTTATACATTTTCATAAAATTTCTGCAAGAATTCCGACTACAATTCGAAACTATCACAAAATAAGCGGACCTGAGCAACCATAATGCCAATATAAAATACGGAGCGCCAGAAGAATAATTAATCTTACCAGATAATGCACCATACAGTCAGTCGATTACTTTGTGATAAAAAATATGTTAAAGATTTATTGAAGATTATTTTGGACTTAAATTCTGAAGTTTCTTGTGTTTTTCAGAATCTATGCTTTATTATTGTCTTCATTCATTATGTTATGTTCCGGGACAAAACACAAATTAAGCGCGGTAATGCTAGTGAAAGTAGTTTATGAGTGAATAATTTCCCCCTATTATCTACACCTTTTAAACTGACAACTATTTATTGACGACCATTTATTGTTTACAAGTAATAAAACAAATATATTAAATATGTGGAATAAAATGATTGAAACAGTTAAAGGAACACAGAAGATGAATATGAATCTCGTTTCTGTTGAATTAAAATTTAAACCCATGCAGTGCATAAATTATTTTGAAACAAGTTGATATGAAAGAAGCCTGTATATGGAGATAAGAAAATATATAATTATATGTATAAGTATGTGGGATCGCTTATCTGCGTTATTTCAATTGAGAAAGCAATTATAAGGATAAGTTTTAAAATTAATAAATGCATGCACAATTAAAATAAATCATGACCAAAGAGATATAAGCTTTGATAAAGCTAAAAATATTTAAAGAAGTTGATAAAGTTAATTCTTGGGAAATTTTAACGTTAAAACAAAATGGCTCCATTTGAGGGCGTCAAAATTATGCCCTCTACAACGGATAGCATTGTAAGCACTTGGGCAAACGCTTGCATAAGTGAGTAACTTGAAATATATTAAAAGGTTATAAAAGAAAACGAACCTTATTATGATGAAGGTAATTATTTGTGTTTGGTACAGATAAGTGATTCTGAAATAAACAAAAAAATGATTTGTGTAGAAAGCAAATAAACACAACAAAATAAAAAAAACGGTAATGTTAAGTATCTATGAATGGCAACATTGTTGCTTTTGAAACTTTTATACACCAATAAATTTAATATAATATTATTATGTTAATTTTTTTTTATTTAATCTTACAATATTTTATCTATATTTTTAGAGCACTCTGAATCTAACAGTCTAACACTGTCCTATACAAGTATTTTAAATATCTTTTTTTTATCATCCTAAATAATCCACTTTATCCATCCAAACATGTACCATTGTTTTTTAATATTTCTCTATGGCAAAATTAATTAAAATTTTAATCACTATGTATAGGCCATGTAAAGCTTTGATACACTGAAGGTCGTTCATCTCACTGTGCAGCCCACATTTATAGGTATCAAAGAGGCTACATAACAGTGTGTGCGAGAAGAATATTATCCTCTAGTTGGCTAAGTCTAAGTCGCATTCTGTCTCGGTCCCATTATATATTTGTATATAGTCGTAAACAGTGTTGCTAAGAAGCAATAAAGATCATAAATTTGATCAATAGTACGCAAGAAATAGTTTTTTAATTTTAAGTTTTTTAAATTAACAATGACTAATTACATTATAAGCCGCTTATTACATTATAATTTTTAGACTGCCTAGATTTTTATAAATCTCACATTTGTATACAGTGATTAGGGCCCTAATGGTTAAGAGATATGTAATAGTATTCCATGTTAGGTTATTTATTTTGCATTCCAAAGTGAAGAGTCAACTAGACTATAACAATTTATAACTTTAGGCAATCAAGAGCATAATCTAAAGTAATAAGCAATAAATTTTAGAGACAAGAATCGTAGGCTCATAAAGGTTCAACTTCATGAACCCACAAGAAATAGTTTTCCTATGTTTATATAAAGAAATTACATAAAATATAGGATTAATAGTGCTTTGGAAATACTAGTACTTTGGAAACTGTATATTTGGACTTGAAAACTTAAAATTGGCCTGAATTGTGATAAAGTCTCAATTCTGCGACACTTCCACATTACGAAACGGGGCAGCGCGCCAAAGGGTGAGCGTTCACAGACGCTGCCGCCCCTCGGCGTAAAAACACCGCGCGGGTGCAACTCACCGTGACGGCGGGGTCGCGGTACTGCGTCATCGAGTGGTAGAGGCGCTGGTCGTGCGCGTGGTCGTGCGCGTGGTCGTAGCGGCGGTCGTAGCGCTGGTCGTGGCGCTGGTCGTGGCGCCGGTCGGGCGGGTGGTCGTGGCGCGGGCGGGCGCCGGCGGCACTGACCTGCGCGTCGTAGAGCGTCGCGTCGTGCGGGTGCAGCGCGAGCGGCACTGTCGCGCCCACCGGCGAGCCGGACGCCGGCGAGAGGCCGCCCGTCGCCGGCGACACGCTGCCGCCGCCCGGCGACACCGCGCCCGGCGACGTCGGGCTCTGCGCAACGGTACGCAACAGTTGTCACGCGCCACACAGTGTAACGCGTGCCCGTCGATGTGTGCACACCTCAAGTATTTATGACTAGCGGCCCGCCCCGGTTTCGCATAGGTGCCATGTATTGTACATTCCTCTTGGATCACACTGTCTAGTAAAGAAAACCGCATCAAGATCCGTTGTGTAGTTTTAAATATCTAGGCATACATAGGGACGGGCGGCGCAGGGATTTGGACCTGGAAACCGAGTTGTACACCTCCTTCAGACAGGCCAAGATGACTTTACAAGCGGCTATAGCTTCAGCGATTGCTGTTGCCAGGGAGGAGTTTTTGGCTGCACTTAACCGTGATCCGTGGGGGAGGCAGTACAGGATGGTGATGAACAAGCTTCGCCCTTGGGCCCCCCCACTGACACAGAGTCTGCGGCCTCAACTGGTAGCGGCGATCGCCGCAGCTTTATTTCCGCAGCGGGAGGAGCACTCGCCACCTTCGATGGCACGACCCAGCACGGAGATGACCGACCCAAGCTTGGATATACCGGAGGTGACTCCGGGAGAGTTCGGCGCTGCCGTCCTTAGGATGAAACTCAAAAGCGCCGCCCCGGGTCCCGACGGCATCCCGGGACGAGCCTGGGCACTGGCCCTGGGGGATGCCCTGGAGCCTAGGTTGAGGGAGATGTTTACTGCCTGTCTGGGCCAAGCCATAATTCCACAGAGGTGGAAGACAGGCAGACTCGTCCTCATCCGGAAGCAGGGGCGTCCCATGGACTCGCCCTCCGCCTATCGACCGATAGTGTTACGCTCCGGTTCCATGGAGTGCCCCTCTACCTGCGCCGTACCATCGAGGCTTACTTGTCGCATCGCCGTGTAGAGTTTCCGTGCCAAGACGGGCATCGAACCATCGAGGTGACGTGCGGTGTTCCACAGGGGTCGGTGTTAGGGCCACTCCTGTGGAACTTAGGCTATGACTGGGTGCTACGTGGCGCCTATCTCAGGGGTGTCGAGGTGTTTTTTTGTTACGCTGATGACACCCTTGTGACCGCTCGTGGCACAAACTTTCACCGGGCCGCTATCTCGCCACTGCGGGAGTGGCTCAGGTAGTAGGACGCATTCGGCGACTAGGGCTAGAGGTGGCGCTGAATAAATCCGAGGCTCTATGTTTTTATGGAGCCCGGAATGCGCCACCTGCGGACGCTCACATTATTGTGTGTGGGGTCCGTGTCGACGTAGCACCTACGATAAGGTATCTAGGCCTAGTTTTAGATCGCCGATGGGATTTCCGGGCCCACTTCGAGCGACTGGCTCCCAAAGTGGCGAAAGCAGCGGCGCAGCTCTCGGTAGGCTGCTCCCGAACGTTGGCGGCCCCAACGACTCCTGTCGTCGCTTATACGCCGGAGTCGTGCGATCCATGGCCCTGTACGGAGCTCCCGTTTGGGCTGACACCCTGAAGCGCCGGACCCAAGCGCTTCTGCGCAAACCGCAGAGGGTGTTGGCTATCCGGGCCATACGGGGCTACCGGACGATCTCCGGTGAGGCGGCTTGCCTGTTGGCCGGCTTCCTGCCTTGGGATTTAGAAGCTAAGATCCTCGCGTCATTGCACTCCTGGCGCGAGGCTGCAAAATCCCAGGGCCACATGCCGGCCCCGGAGGAGTTGGAGGAGCGCAGGCGTAGCCTGCGCTCAAACGCCATCGATGAGTGGGAGCAGAGGCTGGAGCACCCCAGTGCCGGCCTAAGAACCGTAGAGGCCATACGTCCTGTCCTCAGGAGGTGGCTGGATAGGCGACACGGCACCCTTACCTACCGTGCAACGCAGGTCCTCTCGGGACATGGTTGTTTCGGGAGGTACCTGTTTTGCGTGGCGAGGAGGGAGCCCACAGCGGAATGCCACCACTGTGACGTATGTGCCGAGGAGACGGCCCAACACGCACTGGAGGAGTGCTCAGCCTGGACGGAGCAGCGCCGAGAGCTGTACGCTATCGTGGGGCACGACCTCTCGCTACCAGCCGTGGTTCGCGCTATGGTTGACAGCGAGAGGGCGTGGGGTGCTGTCCTCGCATACTGCGAGGACGTTATCACCCGGAAGGAGGCCGCGGAGAGGGAAAGGGAGGCAACTGCCACCCTGGAAATTCGCCGCCGGAGACCAGGGCGCAGGAGGCTGGCCTACGCGCGCAACCTTCCCCCCTGATGGTGAGACCCTGAGCGGCAGACATGGGAGTGTCTGTCGCTCAATATGGGGCTCGTGATGTGTGCTGTGCCAATTGCACGGGCACAACACTATGTAGTAGAGGAGGCGTAAAGGGGCCATAGTCGCGCCGGGGTCGCGGAAGATTGCGTTCACGTGTTCCCGTGTCCCCGGCTGATGCGACAGAGACAGGTGCAACGTGGGTTTTTTAGTGGGTAACCGTTTTTAACGGGACTCCCACATACCCCTGCCACTTCTCCCATCCAGTGGCAGGGGATCCATAAAGGATTTTTCCCACGAAAAAAAAAAAAAAAAAAAAAAAAAAAAAAGGCATACATAGGGACAGACAGCGGGACGACTTTGTTTTATACTATGTAGTGATTTCATATTGTGTTGACCAGCCAAGTTGCAATTTATAATTTTCTTACTTTTCGTTGTTTTTCTCTCAGAGATATTTTTTTTAGTTAAGTAAGTTTCTATTATCTAATTAAAGTTTGTTTTAAACTGTTGTCTTTACCTATAATTTAAATATGTACATATATTGTTACAACTTTAAGTTCTGTATGAATTAAGTTGGTAAGCATTAATAAATAAATAAATAAATATCTATTATAGGCTAGATTGCGCGGTACGCACGTTCACTTTTTCCAACTGAACTTTAGTGTACTTTCGGACAAGATGGTGCTTACGAAGTTTCGTTCACAAGAATCTAAACTCTATAAGCGATCGGGAACCGCATATTTTAATATTTTGGTTAGACGTCAATTAATGTTCTAGCGATGCAGCGAACTTTAGTTCTAAAGTACCAATATTTGAATAAATACTTTTTGATGATCGTTCATATCTATCGGTAGAATATTCGTGAATGTTGTAATGTGTTTCTAAATTATACTAATGCACACCAACACAACATTACACTAGTTAGTGCTCATCACAGTCTAAGAAATATTGTACACAGTGTATTTCTTCTCACTGAAACTAAGCGGTGGCCTCATCGCGTTCAAAAAGACCGGGTTATATTTTCATATTAGGCATAATGCTCTTTCTGCTGATTTCTTACTTTTATCTGTCGGTACAGTCACGAAAGGCACCAGCTCGAGCTTTGAGTGCGGGCTTGGATGCTGTTGCCAGCTAATTTCATTTGTGCTGTTATAATATACTCTTGCCGAAGTTCCATCAATACAATAGTTCAACAGCCGAGGCTTGCCGAGAGCGATGGTAACGATTTCAAAGTTTCGATTTCTGCACACATTCTGGCCGAAAGTGATCGTACAATGATAAGCCCCGCGCGCCGTCCGTTTGGTGCGGGGCGGGCGTAGGGACTAGCGGCACGCACATATCTGGGCTGGTATTCCGGCGACGTCCGGTGCGGCAAGTAGTGGGGGCTGTGTGGCGGGTAGTGCACGGAGGTGAGGTCGGGCAGCGAGCCGCCCGGCACCTGCAGCTCGCCGCACACCAACCCGCCCCCTCCACCGCCGCCGCCACCCCCGCCGTCACCTCCGCTCTCGTACACGCTGGGGCAAGTTATTTGAAATTTTGGATCTACAGCGTGTCGTTACCATCGCGACAATAAATGAACACACGTCTAACGCTACTTGCCAATAATCATAAAAAAATATTAACGTTAAAAAAATCCATAATTAAAAAATAATATTTTTCAAACAAACTAATTAAGTAAAAAAAGAAACAAAATTTTTACCATCCTATACAACTATAACTGACTGATTCATAAATTCAGAGACTTTTTCATTCGTTGCCACAGCGTCACATTACAAGCCTCTCCTTCTAACAGTATGTTTTGTCTCTTTTAAATTCATTCAACCCATATTCAAATTCATATGCTTTGTGACCTTTACAAATGAACGTTTCATTTTTGTAAGGGTGTTCTAAAATTCTTTGTTTTGGAAAATTTTATAACTCTGTAAACATTGATGTTTAAAGAAAGTAACTATTTAATACAATTTTAAAAATTTATCCTCTATATGTGTGTTCATTTATTGTCGCGATTGTAAAGACACGCTGTATATTAATGAATCTGAAGAATATACACAAATTGTTAACTAAAGTGACATGGCATGACCATATTATATAATTTTCTGTTACTTACTTGTTGTTATTTGGTATTCGTGGAATTTCGCACGACGAACGAGGTCGGTTTGTGGGATTCATTCCTAAAGTTGCCAGCACATCTAAGGGTATATCAGGCCCTGAAATGTAATCATTCTTAGTTATTTAATCTATTGTTCTTATTTTGAATTCAAAAAACTTAAAATGTAATTTAAATAAATCTGGGCGCGTTATTCAGACGACGCAGAATCGAATCCTGCAGCGATAAAAATTTTCATGCAATATACTAACAAAAAATTACATCTTTAGTGCATGACTATAAACATTTTAATTTAATCATAAAGCAAAAGTAAAAGTGACAAGAAAACAGATTTTAAAAAATAACTTGTTTCAAACACCAATTGATGATGATATTTACTATTAATCCAAAAATGTCAATATAAATTTTATTCTCACACTGTGCTACTTTGAAAGAGGAAGTTTCCGAAAATCAGTGTATTTAATATGATATGAGTATACTCAACACGACAATTATTAGATGACGCGAATGAATTGTTGAATTATTTTGGATTCATTACACACGGTGGTAGGGCCACGCAGCAGCCTCGGCTGTTGCACGAATGGGCACTCTCGTCCGGGTTAGTACCACGACCTCACAGAAGGCCGGCGTAAAGTGGAAGTATGACAAACACTTTCGCGTTTCGGCTGGTGAGTGAGGTAGCTAGAGCCCAATTTCCAAAAAGTTTGTCAACGCATATGCCCACCCTCGGGTGTTTTAGATGTCTATGGGCGGCGTGAACCGTATGCTCGTTTGGCAACTTTTCACATAAAAAAACAGCTTTTACCTGTTGCTATGATGCTTCCTTTTGAAATAAAAAAAACTTACATCCACCAAACTTAACAATAAAACTAAATCTATGTATATGTATCTCCAGAAATGTGATTTGAATCCGTTGATCCATTGTGGAGTTAACAAAGAGCAAACACTCTTTTGAAGTGGTAGAGCCAGTCAGAGTCAGTCTCTTTTTTCATGAATGGGTAATGGTAGGTATGTCCGTCCTACATTAAGACAGCGTGGACTATATCTTCTACGCAGCATTCTTTGCTGTTGAACAATCGTGTATGGGCTCGTCTAGGGAAGTACGACCTCACAGAAGACTGGCGTGAATTTGAATTGATATACTGCGTTTCGTCTGGTGAGTGAGGTGGCCGTAGCCCGTTGCAAAGGTTGTAAAAGTCCAAAAGGGCGGCGGTTTTCACTAAACACAAGTTGAACCCCAGGCTCGCTTGCCACTTTCTCACATATAAAAAAAAAAACACGCACAAACCATCGTAATATGTAAAGCCTCACCTCGTCTATGATTCTGGTGGGGATGCAGGTGTGGGTGGGCGTGCGAATGCAGGGGGTGGTGGGGGGAGAGCGGCTGCTGCACCGCCTGCTGCTCGCCGCACGACTGGTGCAGCGCCGAGTCGGAGTTGGTGCGCCTCCAGTTGCTGTCGGGCGGCGGGCTGGAATGTAAACGTTGACATTCCTTTTATATGCGAAAAGTTGGCGTTTCAGCCATTCATGTACATTTATAATCGCCCTCGTGTACATCTACCATATTATCGACGGGTTGCAAATGCGTTGCCGACATGAAAAAAGTGAGCCCCGGCTTCACTTCTGCGGGTTTTCTGTGAGAGCACGGCCTTCCCCGGACGAGCCTACCCATTCGTGTGACATAATTTGGTATTTCATGACATTAAGTACTAACCGCCGCCCGCGAAGATACAACTGTGGTTGCAGATGCGTTGCCAGCTGTTAAAAAAGTATATGCATAAAATATCTTGAATAAACTGATGTTAACGCTTTCAGCCCTGAGACTATTAAAGCTTCATCGAATGTAGAACCGGGGTGCTAGCCAGAACCCACGGATTCGAGGCCCTCCACAGTGGGTAGGGCCGCGCAAGTGCTCATGCGTGTGTTGGTATAAGGTGTGTCCTATATACTACCTACGGGGTATAGACGTTCGGTGCAAACCGTGACCCCGATACCCGTTGACTGTGCTTGGTTAGTGGGTGGATGGGGGCAGTGAGAACAGCCCTGACACGCGGGTGTACCTAGTGTAAGCATTGTGTTGGTATCGCCGTGCACGAATGCGAGGACGAACTATGGTGTTTGCTGTTGCACTAACTTTTGTTTTTATGCCAAAAGTTGCCAAACGAGCAGACGGTTCACTTGATGGTAAGTGAATACCGCCGCCCATGGACCTTTGCTACACCCGAGGTTTACAGATGCGTTGACAACGTTTTGAAAATTGGGCTCCGGCTACCTCTCTCACCAGACGAAACGCGAAAGTATTTGTCATACTTCCACTTTACGGTCTTCTGTGAGGTCGTGGTACTTACCCGGACGGGCCTGCCCATTCCTGCAACAGCCGAGGCTGCTGCGTGGCCCTACCACCGTAGCGTTTGCGTAATGTTATCTGATGGGCATACAATATATTACCACTTCACGCCATACAAAAAAAAAATTAAAACGGATGTGATATAGTCCGGGATTTTTGGTCGTTTTTGATACGGTTTTTGATATTGAATACCTTATATTTATATCAATATATCGGATCCAAACAAAATATCAATATACAGCGTAAAACACTCGCGACAATAAAAGAACACAAATATGGAGGATAAATTTTTAAAATTGTATTAAACATTTACATTCTTTAAACATCAATATTTACCATGTTATTAAATTTTACAAAACATTTTTAGAACACCCTTACATATAAAACTGGAACGTAAAGTTCATTTGCAAAGGTCACAAAGCATATGATTGGATTGAATGAATTTAAAAGGGACAAAACATACTGTTAGAAGGAGAGGCTTGTAATTCTACGCTGTGGCAACAAATGAAAAAGTCTCTGAATGTATGAATCAGTCAGTTGTAGTTGTATAGGTGTTACAAATTTTGTTTCTTTTTTACTTAATTAGTTTGTTTAAAAACATTTTTTTTAATTATGAATTTTTTTAATGTTAACTTGCCAATAATCATAAAAAATTATGATTATTGGCAAGTAGCGATAGACGTGTGTTCATTTATTGTCGCCATTGTAAAGACACGCTGTATAAAATCAAAAATATACTTTTATTTTTTGACATCCCTATCAACAAAACCATAATTGTGGGGGCAGAGATATGTCCACTCCTTTGCGCCGTATTGTATATACTTTCTGTAGCACTCCTAACACACACTGGTTTGGTTAAAATCAAATAATACTGTTAAAATTAGTAGGTCTTGTGAATCTGACTTAATTTGTTTTTATTAGTTGTTAAATTTTTAAAAACCTTTATCAGTTATCATTATTATCCCAAATTCCATGTTCACAAAGCCAAGGTGTGGAAAACTGATATCTACTTCTGCAGTTTGTACCACTCATTAGTGCACAGGTATCAAGCTACATGCAATCGTCAATTATGTTTAAAAACTTTTGAAAGGATATTATTAGGGTATCTTTTCTTGTTTAAGTGGTATTCTGCTAGTGGTTGCTCTATGTGAATATATGTCTACCAACCATATGAATACTGAGGAAGGAAAAATAGTACAAACAACAGCATTATGAACATGGATGCGTAGTGTGTGTAAAGAAGTAAAAGATATCTGGTGAGATCTAGAAATTCAGGCAAATTTTATGAGCTAAGTTTTTACACCTACACCTGGTTATTAAAAACATAAATTGAGATAAAAATTATTATTTAAGACTGAAAATAAAAAAATTTTCCTTTGTAACAGCAGTTCAAACAATGTACTCTATCTGTTAGCCATAATACTCAGTCACCTAAAAATAAAGCCTACCTAATGTTAATGCAAAATATTTCCTGTAATATTGGTGTGACACATGAACAATAAATTTATAAATTATGAATGAGAATTCTTAGAATGAATAAACAATGTATCCATAACTTACGCTATGTGTCATGCTGTTTACCTCAAATAGACAGTGCTTCCATAAGGACTAGTATCATGTTTTCGATCAGCAGGTCTTCGCATGGGCCCAACCGAAGACGATGCTCTGCCTCGTTGTATTGGTGTTCTTGATGGTGAAGTACCTCCACTATGCCCTCCACTCATCCCATACTGAGTAGCTAATGTAGTTTCCTCAGGCTACAGACAACAAAATACTTCTTTTGACAATAGGTATTAAAGATATAAAACTTTAAAAATTGCATTAAAACACTTTATCTGCTCAAAGGGTAATAGTTCCAACTAAGCAGTTAAAATAAAATTTTCTCTAATATCATAAAAAAGTAATTGTTTAAATGACTCTTAATCTAACAGTTTAATCCTATTATTTTGGAACTTAATGTCAATGTTTATTAATTATAACATAAACAACATATTTTATAAATATTTTATTAAGAAAAGGATATCATGCCATTCTAAAACAAACAAGTGAAAACAAATATACAGGTGAAAATCATTAAATAAATATAATAACAAAATTGCAGTACATCAACTAATGTCTACAATAAAAATTACACAAATTAGTTCATAAGGTACTTAGTTACATCTGAAATTCAATTGTTTATAGAATGAACATATGATGAGGTTGCTAGCATAAGAAACTTGTGGCGCACATGTTACAAAGTAACTAATTATAAATTTATCATAGCTTTCTGTTCCATGAAATAATTCAAGGATCATACCAGAATAATAATGTTTGTTATTACTAGATAATTGATACTATATGATATACAGATGTTATAAATTATTCATTACATTAGAGTATTATACTAGCAGATTTACGAATTTGAAGATTGATGATATTAATAATAATTGTCAAAGTACCCATTTATAAATAAAACTCAAAACATAAAAAGTAAATGGCTAGCACCAACTATAAATAACACATCTCTACATGAAAAAAATAAATGGCAAATTCTACAAAAAAATACAAGGAATTGTAATGATCCCAAAATGCGGAACCTTTGTATTTTCTTGTTCACTTGTTTTTGTTGGTGGTTGTGGTGCAGCCACATTTGGGAGAGAGCCACTGCGATATGAACCAAGAGCCTGTTGTGTTGTAGGCTTTAATGACGAATCAACATTTTCTATTGATTCTGGAGGTGGTATAACTCTTGCTCGCCGGCTACTTGAGTTGACCTGCAACCATGTTGCTTCAACATTGTAGTCTTGTATTATTATTTATATTTCTTTACTTATCTGTATTTGACAGACTGTTTAAAAAACTTGAAAAATTTAATTTTTCATATAATTCAAAATTGTAAATGATTGAAATAAAGATTTTTAATACTCAATTAAGTTTTATAAAAATATAGCTACAACAAAATTTACAATAAATAATAATGAGTTAATTTATAATGTTTATATAAACGAGTTTTTTTGTGAACTCTTAAAATAAACTACAATGTGTAAACATCTCAACATTTACAGAGCATTTTATTTCTTATAGGAACTAGAGACAAAACAAGATAATCTGTGATTGTGTTCAGATCATATTTAGTAAGAATTAACCATTAAATTATTATTAAGTCGCAATAGGTATATTGTAATGATTATTGTTTACGTCGGCTAGCATAGTTGACGGCCAGGAAGCGATTGTCTGAGTAAATAGGCGACATACCTTATTGGTTGCATCGGAAACTTCACGCATAATCTTTTCGAAAGCAGCTGTTTCCTCAGCCTGCTTTTGATTATGGAGGGCAATTTTCTCACTAAATTTTCGTGGATTCGCCATGATGGTCAACAATCATTTATTATTCTCTTTTTTACATCACAATTTTCTTTAGTCGTCGTACAAAACGCGCTTGTCTGTCAGATAGCTAATCATTGCCATTAAAAAATTAAAAATAAATTACACAGGTTAAAAATTAGATCAGTCAGTGATTGTAGATTGCTGTTAGACTAGCGGCCTTGATCATTGAGTCGTAAGTAGAACAACATAACGTACGATGACAATAAGATAACGCTGTCTGCTTCACCACATCACGGCGACCCCTATTAACAGAATATTAAGATTCATTTAAAATGATTTATCCACGCTTTTATAAACAATGTGGATAAAATATAAGTTTTAAGGTTACGATACAATTTAGAGTGCTTTATATATAATGGAGCCAAAAATGGGTTTCGCGACGACGGAAACGGTTTTGAACGTGTTTGAAACAATTAAGTATGTGCTCCGACCCGACAGAGGCACGACTTCAACGACGCTCTATTTACGAACTGTTCGAGTGTTGCCCGAGTCCATCATCCTCAAAAGTAGGCTTGGTGGCAGTAGAGTTCTCTGGATTGAAAATTCACCACCTACCACCAGTGGAAATCGCCACTTGCACTGAACGATTGGCATGTATCAAAACACGTTACGGGCGTATTTTGGAGCGAAGGGACATCAAACTGGAGGGCTTTTGCCTCTTAGGTACTGTTTTGCATCACTTTTTTGTTGAGATGTAGTTATCTTTTGCCGTTATAGAGAAAAACCTGAAAAAACAAACTTTAACGACTATGACATGAGGTTGTTCCCATCTTAGATAGTATTATAGTGACTCCAAATGTGGCCCTGCGCATGGATCCATCCGGAACGGATAAATGGATCTTTGACTAAATTTTTGCCAAGTATATAATCAAAGATATGGATGCTGCGTTGAATCCCTCGGATGCAGTAGCACATACACAGCCCCAGGAAATATGTGTTATTTATATTATGGGGATGTTTATTTGTTTTCTCGTTTGGTTGTTATAAATAAAAATAAACATATTGCATATGTGATATAAAAATTATAAATAAAAACTAAACAAATAGATTCAAGCCGCCTCAGATGTTCGGAGAGGCTGACTGGGATCAACCCATTCACAGACACGACTATCGGGATAATTTAATATTTACCGTTGTTTGTTTCATTTTATCAGCTAAAGAAAAATGGTGGTATAATTTATAATGAATAGTTTGTATGAAGAAATCCTGCAACGATAAAAATGTTTATCTTCTTCTTCTTCTTAATAATGGCTTGCTTTGAAAATGTTTATCAATGATATCTTTATTTATCAGTTGTCATTGTCAAATGTTGGCTGTCAAAACATGCCAACCAATTTCAATTTTTTTCCTATTCGAAGGAATTAAGTATTTCCTTCCTTGCCTAAGATCGGCAGTTGATCGTTGAAAGCAACGAGAAGTAGAATAATGGAAGAGATATATATTTTGTCGTTAGATATAGGAACTAGTACTATTCGATCTGTAATTTATAATTCAAGAACTGACGTGATAGGCAAAGCTTTCGATCAGGTACTTTTATTTCTTATCTAATATAATACTATATATTGTTTAAGAATAATTTGCCCATTATGTTATAATAATAGCGAACGTTCAAATACGTTTTTCTGTTCATAGGTGGTTTTACATTATCCTAAACCTGGATTTGTAGAAATAGATCCTGATGAACTCTGGAAATCTGTTATTAATGTGGTGAATAAATGCATTCAAGGTATGTTCTAATAATATTTGTTCGTATATTTTAATTTTGTTAGTCTAATTAAAGTACTATTATTTTCAAATTAAATTGAATGAAGATTAAATACTATTTGGACTTGTTAGTTGAACAATCAAAGTTCTCTGTTCAATTAAGCTCTTACAATTAATAGCACCAAAAATTGTTTATTGACAGATTTTGAGTATCTTTAAATTGTTGTCAAATAATAAATCTACAAAGGGGACATGTTTACTGACACCAAAAAAGGTCATCTAATGCTTGACTAACATTGTTAAAGGTGCAAATATTGTGCTAATATCTTACTTAACATTTTCCATTTTAACTACTATTTTTGTTGGTAAATATTAATTATTTGGTAATTTTGGCTCAATCCATAAGACAATTGTTTAGTAATAATTTTAATTTTATGTGTAATGCAAAAGTGAAAATAAAAATCGTAACAGAATTTTTTATTCATTATCTTCTTTTCGTAGATGCAAGCCTTACAGCAGGTCAAATAACGGCGATGGGCATTTCCACACAACGAAGCACTTTCATAACTTGGTCACGAAAAACAGGACGCCCATTTCATAGGTTCTGTACTTGGAAGGATATAAGGGCAGACGATCTTGTGAAAGAGTGGAACAATTCCTACACTTGGAAGGTAACAATTTTTATCATTGCATGTATAGCTAATCACTAGTTAGGTTTTCCTGTAAATGTCAATTATAATGTCATCACAGTCTAGAAGAACACCACCATAAAGGAGAGTAATTTTATTATTCCATTTCACCTGCTTTTAATTGGTGTAATTGGTGACCCACCTTAACAAATATTTTCAACACCTCTGTTACTGTGGTTTTCCTATGGCGGCCGTATGGACTTACCATTTTTAAGCATAATTGAAGTAAGTTTTTCATGTGATAGAGCCATGCACAGCCGTTTGCTGATGCAGAATTAGGCCAGCTCCAATCGGGGAAGTACCACAACCACACAGAAAATCGGTATAAAGTAAAAGTATTTATAACTTTGCCTTTTGTCTCTTGAGTGAGGTTGCTGGAGGCCCAAAAAATTTTTTTTTTATTTATTATTATCAAGCCGTTTTAACAATGTAAGTGTGTATAGGAAAATAGAGCTGTGAATTAGAAAAGGGGCACGCACACTTATCCCATATACCTTAAAGTAAATATGACTATGGTTTCTTGTGACCCTTGTGATTATGTCCATAATTATTTGTATAATTAAATCAATTAACACCTAATTTCTAATGTGCCTTATAAAAAATCGCCGGTCCAGCAACCAAAATGAGTACAGACATGAACCATAAAAAATATATAAATAAATACTAGTGACCCGCTCCGGCTTCGTGCGGGTGCAATGTATTATAAATATAAACCTTTCTCTTGAATCACTCTATGTAGTAAAAAAAACGCATCACGAACCGTTGCGTAGTTTTAAAGATCTAAGCATACATAGGGACAGACAGACAGCGGGACGACTTTGTTTTATACTATTTAGTGATGATATTAATATTCTTTACCGCATATCACGAAAGAAAATTTTTTCCGATCAAGCATTGCACTGGGCGCAATTACATGAAGGATTTTTTTCTTTTAATACCAATTGTACTCTTTATTTCGCAACACTTTCTTTTACCGTGTTACTGTAGAGTTAAAAGGCATAACAAATATTCGTACAATTATTATGTAATGAATTAAAAAGAGTTAATAATTATGTATTTCGGTACTGTCTGTCTATTTTTTTTCCTTTTTAGGTTATAAAATTAGGAGCGTACCTATTACACATGGTGTCAAGAAGTAAACGGTTTAAAGCGGGAAGCGTTTTTAAGTTCTCAAACAATCAGGTAAGACAATCATTAAAATTCGTATTTCGAATCAGTCCAAGTTGCTCTGTGTTTTTTTTCGTTTCCTTTGGGGCTCATTAAAAGATCAAATTATAAAAGAAACGAACAAAGGGTATATATAAAAAACTTTCCTGTTCAATAAGGTAATTTAAGGTATGTTTTAAACAAATATCAATTCATACCATCGCCTTTTTAAGTTTGAAGACGCAAGAATTTTTTATATTTAAACAGTTTTCGTTTTACGAAACCCCGGTCTTTTATATTATTTGAACAAGTCAAGAGAGAGACTGATTAATGGTGTGTATTGAATTTTTAGTAGCGCTAATATCATACGACTATGAACATACGTTTTATTGTAACGCATCGTAAATAGTAACAGTAACATTGCATTTACATCTTTCAAAAACAACGACTATTTATTTTGTTGTTTCTCCATATAGCTTTATTTTACGTTTTTCGTCTCTATAAACGAAACCAGTTTATGACTTACGGCAGACCTTGGCATACGAACTTACCGTACATTGAAATGAATAAGACATTTTTCTTTTTAATGTTAAAACTCATTGAGACCACGCTTATTTTAAAAAGCACGTCATATGTCGTTTTAAAAATGTTGGTAGCCTTTGGCTTATTACATCTACCTTGTGTATAAAAATTAAAGTATTCGCACAGACTTGAAAAATAACGCGCTTGGCTTACTATAATGTAAATGTGTGCGTGAGGCATGTATGTACAAACTACCCAGTTACGCACTATGTTTTAAACGAGTTATTTTTCTAGTCAGTAGAGTATACTTATGTAAGTAATAGAAAAGAATAAGCTTGTTATATTTACCCACTGAAACATAAAGAATTTAAACGTATTACCATCGTCCTCGTACCATTTATCCCAGTCAGGTGGGGTCGCCAAAAACCGTGTTATGGCCTACCATATGAGAAATAAATTTTGTTACAAAGGATGTTTTTAGAGGTATACAAATCCAAAATGAAAAAAAAAAAAAACATTAAAATAATGTTAATATCTACGATATTGGCTTTATTTAATAGTTAATTTTGTGCTATTATTGTTCAAATATGATTTCGAGCATATAAGCGCCACGGTTAGCTCGAATGAAGCGTAATCGTGAAGTCCAAATTTTGAGAACATTATCGAACAACTGGGGCCTTATATCGGCAGTAACACGGCGAATGTTCACGGTGAGTTCCATTTTTGCACTAGAATCTACTGGGATTCTGGAATAGGACTTAATTATATTATGAAACTAAGTACATTCTATATTGTTACCAAATATTTTATAGCGTCTCAATTAATCACTTGTGCTTTTTGTTATTTTCCTTGTTTGCATAAATTAGTTTTTATGATTACAGACCACATTAAGGTTATTCTGGGCGCTAAATAATGTACCCGCGTTGCAGTCTGCCGTCCGAAATAATGAAGCCATGTTCGGCACGTTGGATACTTGGTTGTTATACAAATTAACAGGTAAATTTTTTGTAAGCAGGGCAATATAGTTTTGTAGTGAGATTCAGTAATGCTTTGCTTTTATCACACTGATATTTTGAATAAAATCCGCTAAGTTAAATATTTTAAAATAAAGTACAATGACGCGGAATCACAGAAGCGTCAATTACAACTTGAATATATTTTCCCCATTACGACTTCGCTTACCCAAGCCGACTTTAAAATCGAGTTTTATATTCTTTGTTATATTGTAATGTGCTTACAATGATGTTAAATAATATAGTTGACGCATGTTCATACTGCGCGGCGTTTAATATAAGATATAAGTAAAAGTATATCAGATATATGCGAATGTGACAGATGATATAGAACGTATTATATGGAAAGAGATAACAGTCTATAGAATTGCAATCTAATTATACCAATTGGTGTAATTTGAGTGCTCAATTTTAAGCTCCATAAGACTTTTGCCTAGGACTGAGTTCCGTACACACGCTTGCTCATAGATTGTATTTTTTCATGGTATTTTCAATTATTATGTTATTATAATAGTTGACTGATTATTATATTATTTATTATTAGCACAAACACACAATTTGTACAGTGCCCATAGGTGTTGAAGTGTCCTAGAAACATGAAGGTATTAATTTAAAGCGGGATATAATCTGTGAAAACACTTTTATATAATAATTTTGAAAGTTCTTGTGTTAATAAGACGTTCGTTAGTGAATATAATTGCAATAAATATACAGTTTTTAAAAGTCGTTTGGCAGTATCGGAAATTTTCGCCAATTAATTTGTTCTTACGAGATCGTAATTTATCCGGTTCCACGACACAATTAGCAACCGTTATTGGCTTACGTGTTATATACGATATAATATCCTTCAGCGGTTTTATATGTAGACGTGTGAATATAAATTCACACGTCTATAAAATCACTTTAGGTCATAACATATCAGTTAGCTAAAATATTACATAACATACTACTCGATTTGTTTCCGGATTATTTATTGTTCATAGAAAAAAGCTGACTAACAGGTTCGATATTAACACATTATAATAACATTCTTACCCATTATTTGGATACGTATTTCAAGTTCTTTCTACATTATTCGTTGAAATAACATCAACTAAACCATGAATTTGGATAAATTTTTTGATTGATCCTCGTTTACCAATACATTAATATTATTGTATTACACTGTGCATTCTAATGTGCATTGAGATAAAATCGGCTTCCGCGCCGAGGGTTGTAGGTTCTATTCCCACACGGGACAAATATTTGTGACCTACAGATAATAAGTTCGGATCTGGGTGTTTGTTCACGTGAAATTTATGTTTGTAAAACGTCCTTAGAACGCAGGATAATGCTGTCATAAAGTTTAGGCAATGTTTAAAAAAGTAAGAGCATTTTTTTTAAATAAAGAAAAATAAAACTTTATGCCAGCACGCGTTCTACTCGACACAGGATAATGTTCAATAAAGTAATGGCAATGTTTAAAAAAGTAAGAGCATTTTTTTTAAAATAACGAATAAAATAAATGTAAGTTTTCATGCCAGCGCGCGTTCATCTCGTTGTGCGCAGGCAACAAGCTGCACATGACGGACGTGTCCTCTGCTTCCGCGACGGGTTTCTTCGACCCTTTCACCATGCAGTGGGCCGGCTGGGCGATGTCGATTTTCGGCATACCGATGTCGGCCCTGCCCCAAGTCGTTGACACCGCGGGCGAGCACTTCACTAGCACATCGCCGGAGATTTTCGGGCACGCGATACCGATAAGGAGTTGTGTTAGTTGTCTACGTTTCCTCTTCTCTATTCATCCGATTTTTATATAAATTACTAGCGACCGGCCCCGGCTTCGCACGGGTGCAATGTATTATACATATAATCCTTCCTTTTGAATCCCTCTATCAAATAAAAAACCGCATCAACATCCGTTGCGTAGTTTAAAAGATCTAAGCATACATAAGGACAGACAGACAGCGGGACGACTTTGTTTTATACAATGTAGTGATTTACGGGTTTTGTTTTTCTTTTTGGAAAATTTAAAGTTAACGTAAACCGCGGTGAGATTCATTAAGATCTGTAATGTTCGCTTAAATAAACGATATTTGTATTCATTCTGCTGTCTATGACATTCCCGTAGATCTATCCGGAGAATGACAAATCTCTCAACGTTTCGAAACGCCACTCCGAAACATTTCTAAACCGATTACCGGGAATCGGAAAGACTATCCGTTCAACGCTTATTGTACATCATCGCATTATGTAATTTTAAAACAGGTAATACGATGTGGTATTCGAAATATTTCGAGGTATTTGAACGAGCGATTAAACTTGTCATTTTTCGTTTTACATTCATTATGTATTAAACTTTATACCAACACTCGCCTTAATGGTTTCGTCAGCACAATCACATGAACATCAGCAAAAAAATGTCGTTCCTCTCTACGTAGTCATTACCGAACACTGTTGTTAATTGTACCGAACAAAAAACACTCGTTGGTGGCTCCATAAACTATTTTCGTGTAATCTTTACTAAATCGTGGATATTGAAATGATCTGGAAATTAACACAATGAAACCCTAGTTCAAAATGATGCTAATAACAAGAAATAACTGATGTATTGAAGACGATATTAATTAAGTTGTTAAATTTTATTGACTGAATAAATATCTAATTAATGAATGATTGCGAACTGGGGTATCGAATTTTAGAGGTACGGAGGCGGTAAAACTATACACCTAAATACCCCACTTGTTTTAGCTGATGCCGCGAGTCCATTAGAGACTATCGATTGCAATTCGACGACCCGAATGGCGTAGTCGGTAGTGTACCTGCCTCCTGCGCCAGAGGGTGTGGGTTCAATCCCCACTACTGGAAAAATATTGTATGATGAACATAGTATTTTAGTGTCTGGGTGTTTATACATGTATAATATGTATTTATTTACAAAACAAAAGTATGTTTAAGTATGTTTATCAGTTATCTTGTACCCATAGTACAAGCGTTGCTTGGTTTGGGACTGGAGAACGCTATGTGAAAATGTGTCATAAAAGTATTTATTTATTTAAATATTTGTTCCAGATAGCGGACCAGACCGCCTCCATGTGGGGCTCGTGCTGCTTCGAAGCGGGCGACGTGAAGCTGACGATGGGCACGGGGACCTTCCTCAACATAAACACCGGCCCCACGCCCCACGCGAGCGTCTCCGGCCTCTACCCGGTGGTGGGGTGGCGGCTGGGCGAGGAGCTGGTCTTCTCGGCCGAGGGCTCCAACAACGACACCGCCTCCATCGTCAAGTGGGCGCAGGGCATAGGTCCGTCGGACCCCTGTGGAGTTGAATGTTTAAATATTATTGAAGTGAAACTTCTAACGCGACTTCCGACAAGGTTGCGTTAAACGTTCAACGCTACCGTGGATGGGGGTATGAACGCACTGTTGCGTTAAATGTTCGACGCTCGAAATCACATCCGAAACAACTGTCTGTGGGTCACACAAATAAATAAATAAATATTTTTAGGACACACTTTGCAACAACAACAACAAACTAAGCAACGCTTGTACTATAGGTACTAGAAAACTGATAAACATACTTAAACATACTTTTCTTTTGCAAATAAATACATATTATACATATACAGCGTGTCGTTACAAACGCGACAATAAATGAACATACATATAGAGGATAACTTATTAAAATTGTATCAAAAATTTACATTCTTTAAACATCAATATTTACAGAGTTATTAAATTTTCCAAAACAAAGAATTTTAGAACACCCTTACGTATAAAACTGTTCATTTGTAAAGGTCACAAAGCATATGAATTGGTTGAATGAATTTAAAAGAGACAAAACATACTGTTAGAAGGAGAGGTTTGTAATGCGACGCCGTGGCAACGAAAGAAAAAGTCTCTGGAATATATGAATCAGTCAGTTGTAGTTGTATAGGATGTTACAAATTTTGTTTCTTTTTTACTTAATTAGTTTGAAAAATATTTTTTTTTTAATTATGGACTTTTTTAACGTTAATTTTTTTTGTGATTATTGACAAGTAGCGTCAGACGTGTGTTCATTTATTGTCGCGATGGTAACGACACGCTGTATAAACACCCAGACACTAGAAAAACACTATGTTCATCACACAATATTTTTCCAGTAGTGGGGATCGAACCCACACCCTCTGGCGCAGGAGGCAGGTACACTACCCACCACGCCATTCGGGTCGTCAAATAGTTGTCTCGGGTGGGAATCGAATCCACGACCCCTTCGCCTAAGCTGATACCTTTGCAACTGCGTCACGGAGTCACCCATTGTATTCTCTTACAGACTTATTCGAGAACCCAGCTGACACTGCTGACATCGCGATGTCCGTGCCCGACACAGATGGAGTATACTTCGTACCGGCATTCAGCGGATTGGGTGTAAGTCGTCCTTATGATAAATAATTACTTGTGTTAACCGATTTAATCAAGGCTGCCGTCATTTTTTTAATAATTTGTCATTGAATTTATCAAAATGAACTATTTTGTTTTTTTTTTATTTATAAAAAAACTCACTTTAGGATAACATTATCCTGTGTTGTAAGGATGTTTTACAAAACATAAATTTCACATGGACAAACACCCAGATACGAAAAAATCAATATCTGTGGGAAGCACAGATAGTCCCATGTGGGTATCGAACCCACGACCCCCGCGCACCCCATCGAACTGCGCCACGGAGTCATCTAGGCTAAATTAATGCAGCCGTCAACTTTTGAATAATTGGGTTTAGTTCATAAAATTTAATCAAAACACATCAATACTGCAACACGTCATCGAACAAGCACCTACTGCGTAAAATGAAAAGAATAAATTATTGAAACATATACAGTGGCTTTGAATAAGTGTAACATTAAGACGTTTTACAGCTAAATTTGTTCCGTGACCATGGACGATGTAAACTGTTAAAATCCTATGTTAACTAACAATTACCTTTTTTCTTACACCACACAACAATTATCTGACACGCAATACCACAATTATAGACCGCGCAAAACTTTAATGCGCCACTGAAGCCATCGTCAATATGAGCTCTGTGAACAAAGTTAACAGAATTCAGATTGTCATCAGAATACCCTATGTCGGAAATTAAAATAAAATATCAATAGCTAAACTAAACAATTTACGAACTTAAACAAGAAAAATCAAACAGACTTATACAGACTTTCCAGTCTGACGGTTTTGACGGTCAAAAATTGTTTTATTATTATTAATATAATTATAATCAGTTTAGTTTTATGTTTCTTAGGTTTCCGATATTAAGCTTTTCCGTTAAGAACGAGTATATCATGAATAATTTATGGCAAGAAAAAAGTGTAAGTGCGAGTACTCGCGCACGAAGGGTTCCGTACTATTATCTATAAAAAGGCCAAAAAAAATCTTGTCTGTTGTATTAGAGCCCCACTTAAATATTTTGAAGTAAAACTTCTTTAGGCGCGACTAGGAAGTAACTCAGATTTTTTTCTGACGGAAGTAACGCTTTTTCTGACGGAAGTAACGTCATAAGTATATGTCATATTTGTAAAATATGACGTATACTTATGACGTCACTAAATATTTAATCATTTGTCAACGCCAAAGAAGTTTTACTTCAATCGCGACACGAAATCAAAACTTACTCACTTTTTATTTTAAAAAAAAAAAAAGTAAAAGAAAAAAAAAGTAAAGTAACTGTCTATATATATCCAACTACTGGTCAACGGCCGTTCGGCTTAGTGGTTAAAGCGTCCGCGTGCGAATGTAGCGTCGCGGAATAACTTTCCGTTCCAATTTTTTCTACAAACCTTAATTTATTATCTTTATATTTTTTTTATTAATTAGACGAATGATATCCAATGTCTATATGGAACAAAAGCTTAAACATTAAAAATTTAAGTTCCGTTTTTCTGCGTTGTATCATTACGTATTCCGATATTCAGGACAACTGCACTGGCGCAGTAGTACGGAGCTGCCACAATTTTCAGTTCAGTTTCTGTATCCTGATTTTTATTTAGCCACGTCAACTTCCCGGTTTTATGCTGCTTCAAAGACTCACTTTTTTTGATGTTTTCATTTATTGTAATTTTTGCAATATTGTTTCATGTGTCATCCTGTGTTACTCCGATTATTTTTAAGGTTTTTACGTAATTATTGTGGTCAGACCGTGAATAAATGCGTTTTTCTTTCTTTCTACCTGCGGACAGGCACCGTACAACGACTGCACGGCCGCCGCGGGCTTCGTTGGAATCAAACCCTCCACGGGGAAGGCGCATCTGGTGCGAGCCGTTCTCGAGGCTATCGCCTTCAGGACCCTACAGTTGTATGCGTGCGTTAGGACAGAGACCGCTCACACGTTCCGCAGCATCAGGTGGGTTTGTGGCAATGTGGCAATGTGATCGCTTTTTCTTGTGAGAACGTGGCGAGCGGGATGGCGGTGGTTCACCTGATGTTGTGGGGCTAAAACCTGAGGGCTTGTAGATACGGTGGCAACTTTCAACGCATCTGCAAGCCCTCAGGTGTTGGAAGTTGTTGAACTGTTTTGTTTTCGTAAGATTAATATGCGTTAATATGCGTTCAACGTTTGCGGACGAATGGGGGTCGATAAAAAAAATTAAAATGAAAGTAGATGTCAACCCTGACGATCGACATACGTGAGATGAAAAATTTCAAAAGAAAATCAAAACGCTATTAAGTTTCTAAAAAGTAAAATAAAAAACATATTATACAATGTTATTTATGTTATTTTAAATTCCCGCCAGGTTGGACGGCGGCGTTTCTAACAATGATTTCATCGCTCAGCTCGTGTCCGACCTCACCGGGCTAAGAGTTGAGAGGCCCTTGGAAGTGGAGATGTCCTCATTAGGCTGCGCCCACATTGTCGGCTTACAGCTAGGTAAGGTTAAAGACCCATTTACACGGTGCAAGTTTCTTGCCTGCTGTATACAATTAAATTGAAGCAATAAATGAGTTGCATGGTCTAAACAACAAATGGTCTAACAAATTATTGCGCGCAATTTATTGCATTCAATTATTGCTCTTGTATGTACAAGAAAATGGCATCGTGTAAATGGGCCTTTAGCGTATTCCTCCCAAATGTTATTGGAATATAGTACGGTAGGTATTATATACTCCAATATAAATTCGTAATGCCACAGTTTATAACAGAAGCTTGTTGTAATTATCCAACACCAAAGTTGGATGTTTATGTAATATGAGACAATCTGTATTTAAAATAAATCTGGACTCATTATTGCATTGTGCTTTCTTGACGTGTAGTTTTGCACAAAAACCGATTTAAAACTCATATTAACATACTAATACTATATTACTTATAAATAATAATATTCAAACATACTCATACCAGTCATCCAGAAGAGTGGTAGACATTTCATGACATTTTTTTTAAATTTGATGATCGATAAGGTTAAACTTAAACAATACTCATATCCGTTTCTTCAGTTATATTGAGTCTCTTGTTAAGTTTTGTGTATTATATATAAAGTATTGTTTCTAATTAAAGTGCATGATTATATCAATAAAGACTTTTTCAAATTCTCAGGAGTATTCAAATCGAAGGACGAACTGAAATCGCTGCGCAAAGTCGGCACGGTCTTCACGCCTAGGGCTCACGCGAAGAAAACATACGAGTACGCATTCTCCCGTTGGGAGGCGGCAGTGAGGAGGCTGTGCGGCTGGTACGCGGAACCGAAACCGTCGCACGCGGTCGCCGACACTGACAGCGCCACGCCCCGCACTAGTTTCAAGATGGCGGCCAAGAAAAATGGCGGCGCCGCCAAATAGCGGTGGCTTCTCCTCGCGGCGGCCATGTTTCTCGTGTGCTTCCTGTGCAGCTGATACCGTCTCGGCCCCATTGCACTGTTGTCGATTTGCCCGCGTAGGGCCCGAAAAACTTGACCGTACCTAAGCCGGCTCCGCGAGTTCTCCGCGTACCGTCAAGTGCTAAATCTTTACAAAACTACGTAATATCTAGCAGTTGTTCACGATGCCAAAAAGTTGTACGCGACTGTACACTGGCATTTTGATGGAGACGGAAAGCTGACGGGAGGGATGTATCCTTCACCCCGCAGCGCCGAGAGCAAGATAGAAAACCATTTCACTTCGGCGCGAAAGAGACGGCTACGCTCCCCCATAGCAGATGCCTCTTACGCCTTTAAACAGTGTTTGACACGCGACAGGCTTAAATGAATGTCAGATTTTAGGATTTTTAATTTTCCGCGTCCTAACCGTTTATTTTGTTAGAAAATTAGGCCCTTTGGTGATGGTGGTTTGGGTTTTTACCCGGTTTTGCTCTCTATTCACAATTGTGAGACAACAAAGTGTGACACGAGGAAATAATTATATAAATCATGTCTTTATAGTTTCCCAGTACATTGTGAACTTATCGAACGAGAGAGTAATTTAAGCTGAATTTATTTTAGAACGCCTCAGAATTTTTTACATTTTAATACTCCTATGTAGCTTATATAGCAAAATATATTACTGTATAAGTAGTTAGATGACGATTTTTATGAAATGTATTATATATAAATAGTTTAGTACCAAAATGACAATTTTATTGCTCAATTTAGTGTTGTTTATTAACGACCTATGGAATTGAATTTATTTAGATGGTTTTAATGAGTAGTTTATAGATATTAAATTCAATTTATTTATTCCAAATATAATGAGTGAATCATTAAGTGAAATAACAATGACCGTGCTGTACCAGCTTTGGTTTGTAATAATTTTTATAAATACGAAATGTATATACGAATATTCTCTTCATCGATTTTTTCCTAATGCTCATTGTTATTACAGTAATATCATAGTTCGGTATTTAAATCAATGGTTTTAGCAAATTAGCAGTTTTTGACGAATTGCTGTGGTTGTGGTTCCCAATTGCGCTATGGAATATACAATATATTATTAAATTGTTAAATTTGAGCGTTTAACAATCTTGACGATGTTCAATTTTACCTGAATTATTTCCTGCATTTAAAGTTTCTTGCCTTCCATATTTTCTAATCTGCTTAGTGATACTAAAGGAATTATTATCCAGAGAATATCTATATTTTACTGTAATCTGGCTCCCTTTCCATGCTTTTGCATTAAAAGCGCACTTTTTGTAAGACTGTATGACTTAGGTCTTAGAGAAATGAATTTGTGATATTAACAGTACTTTAAGGATTTGTACGGCTGTTCTTGTACATTAGGGATATCCTAAAGACCGAAAACATAGAAGCGAATTAGAGCTTACGAGAATTAAGTGGAGTTTTAATAAAACATCTTCGAGACAAACTTCGCAATAAACAAAATGTGACGCTAGTTAAATTTTAATTGATATAACTTAGAGAACTTGGTCAAGTCAAAAGATTGATCTTATGATTCGTATGACTTTGTATTCAGTCATTCGGCGAGTGTTAATAATTTGTGTAAATTTTTCATATTTTATGTTCTGTACCAATATTTAAATAAAAATGGTAGCTTCGGGTAACGCTAAGGTATAACACCAGTGTCTTTTTAAGATGAATTAACGAATGGGTTATCATGTCATTAAATAAGTACTGAAAATAAATTATATAGGTAAGTTTTGTGATATTATAAATGTTTATAAATAAAATCATTATATATTTAAAAATAATAAATCGTTTTTTAAGTTCAAGTAACATTCCATAATGGATTGGTATTTTTTTCTAGAGATTATTGTATTGACCGAAAAGTTTTGTTCAATGAAGCCTTTAAGTATTTGTTACGAGTATTAGTTGTTTAATAATGAAAATGGATCCGTGTAGTTTGCAATTAAATTCAATGCGATTCAAATAAGAATAGGACTGACCTCGCGCCATCATGTGACGTGAGTAAAACATATCTGTTTTGTTCACGTCAAATGAACGTTTTTGAAATAATGTTTATTTACATATAATTTTTGTATTTAAAGCATGAAAGAAAAAGTTTTAATTGCAATGAAGCACTTCCTATTCTCATTTGAAACTCATGACAACTATACATATTCAATCATCAATTCAATTCCGTTTTTAATATTCATCTAAGACTAATGAACAAACTAACCTTTTCCAAAATTGAATGTTTGTTTATTACACTTATTTTGATTACTATTTCTGTGGAAGACTTAATTATTTATCTATGAAAATGCCCGCAGTATTTCCGGGGCATTCATTGTAAATGTATTAAATAATGTTCAACGACATCTTATAATTTAATAAAATGTTTTTAATTTTAAAAATTTTCTTTTCTTACACAAACACATGTCTTAGATAGTGTCTTTTAATGTATTATGTAACTCTGTTCTGTCTCATTGATTATATGATAAAGTCGATTTTATATAATACGTAGTTAGTGTTTGATACATTACCTGCGTGTTATAAGCAATTGACTATTTATGTTATGTTAATATAACTTCTACGAGTATTCAAGTTTATTACATTAATTTGTAATCTTAAAAAGAATTAGTTACTAAGATACATTTCTGAACAAGCCATTTTTATTAATAAAACTAAATAGATTTGCTGTCGTTTCACGATTGTTTGAATCGATGTACAGTAATTTTTATTGCGCTTGAAAAGAACCAGGGTGATACAAAGAATAATTTTATCCTTCGCATTATCTTCTCTAAGCTATATACGTTAATGTGAGTTTCGCTTTTTATTATTTTGTATCTAATATTTATTTATTACGTTTATTGATAAATTTTTTAGAATTTTGTTCACTGTCCACGAGTAGTCTGACGCCCGGGATGCCAAAAGGATGGTTAAACTCTTTGAATTGATCATTCAGATCATTAAGAAGATCATTCTGATAATTTCAAAGAATTAAACCATCCTTTTGGCAACTCAAATGACATTTGAAACGCCATTTTACAGCTGATTAGTTAACTACTAGTTCTACGATGAGCAGTGTTTCAGAAACCGGTGGTTAATGTTTATGTTCATAACACAGATAACATAGAGAACTCTGTGTTTGATTAGAAATAACCAGTTAAACTTATAAGCATGTGTACAGTTTATATATATATATATATGTATATGCCAACGGTTATGATCTAAAAAATGTTGCCAATACACTCACGTATTTACTCAGACTAATGTGTTTAGCTATCGATTTGTTTAAAAACTTAACACATGCCACCCGTATATAAATCGGATTACAAATATCTCGAGCACATTCCAAGCACGGGCCGAGAATGGGATATATCGTTTATGTTTTTCTAATTTCAATTATCAGCTGGCTTCTGCTTGGGAAGATGGAAAGATGGTTTGCATTTGAGTCCCGAACGACTTAAAATAAACGCTTTGGAGCCGAGGAAGAGCAACGATTATATGGACTACGATCCGGATGAAGTGTCAAGAAACTTTTTTCACGTAGGCATACATTACATTATGCCAAACGAGGGAATCCCGTTGTTTGATATAAGGACCAAAAAATGCTATTGATATAGTATAACGATGGTATTCGACAAAGCGAACAATAAAGAAAAAATAAATAACAGAAAATGTAGAGGAATGTAACGGAATCAACGAATGTTTTCAACTAGAGGGTGCACGGAATGAGCTGTTACTTTTATTACATTTTAGTATTAATATAATGACAATATACTCGTTATTATCGTAAATTGTTCGTTATCATTGTTCTAATTTATCCCTATATATACCCTGTTCCATTGTTGATGCTAGTTACATACGTATATTATAAGATTGTATACCATTTTATGTAAAGTTCTTGTGCATTGATATTGAAAAGCTTAAAAAGAAGGCGTTTCACTAGTAGTTAAAGCGAGGGGACAAAATTAAAAAACGGCCCTAAGTTTTGGCCTCTAAAGATTTTGAATAAAAATATACAATTTCATTGAGCAACATACTATGTAAATCTCGAAACTAAGGCTGATGAACAAAACAGAATTTATACATAAAGAGCACATGCAAAACGGTGTAGGTTGATAGTCGTTAGTTATATACGTTCATTAAATAATTATTATGATTTATCACAATTACTGAGATGCTTTATTTAATAACACACCTCTAGGATAGCTTTTTTTTATCCTGAGGAGATCCGTTCTGGATAACAGGCCTCCCTATTTTCGGAAGGTCAGTTTACGTCGGACTCGCACCGATGGTCGCCATCCACTGAGATGATGGGTATCTACAGGGATCTCCGTTCAGACAATGCCGCGGCTTCTCCTTCGCGCGGCAGTGATTGCTACGTTCCGGAGTAGTATTGCGTTGCACCCGCCCAACAATTGTCTTACTGAGAGTAGGACGCCTGCACTCTTTTTTTTTCTTAATAAACTGCCCTGACATCAGCACAACATTATACTGTGTTGTAAGGACGTTTAACAAACATAAATTTCACGTGGACACGTGGAAACACCCAGATGGGAAACAACTATCTGTGGCTTACACAAATAGTTGTCCCGTGTGGGGATTGAACCCACAACCCCCGACGCCGCAGTCAGTACCTTAGCGTTTGTGTCGGGAGAACCCTGACGATGCACACGCACGCGTCTCAAGCCCTGTCTCCGAGTCTACTAGAAAGGGCCGAGGACCATCACGGTCTCACAGAAGGAGGCAACGGCCCTCCACGCCGTATCACCGCTAGGGTAGGTAATAGAGGCAGTTCTTCAACTCTAGCAACTTCCTTCCTCGCTCCTCCAAGATAAGGTGCATTGCACCCACTGCTGGCTCGATTCGGGGCGTAGGCGCTTGAAGCCGCAGCTACATCTACAGTATAAGCTTTTTTTATGTAAGAAGGTGGCAAGCGAGCTGGCGGTCACCTGATGTTTAAGTGATAACCGCCGCCCGTTGACGCCGGTCTTCTGTGTGATCTTGGCACTTATCCGGACCTGGCCATTAGTGCAACAGCGAAAACTTACGTGGCACTAACACCTACTTCATATATCGAGTTCGAGTATCGAGAGTCTCAAACTATTAATGTGATGTCCGCATTGCATACGACGTGTACGTTAACAGAGTTGTGGCTTAGTCTGGCCACCGCATGATTTACACGTTAATATATTCGGTATAATTAAATATATTAGCGTTCTAAGACATGAAAAGGGCAAAAGGAATATCGGTGATTACCACGTTTTTTTTCACTACTACACTGTATATTTTACAGTCCCGAAATTTATTTGTATTCCCTTAATTGCAATTGATTAACTGATTTATTTACTCGTTAGTGTCCAGAGCGATTAAACCAATCCAATTTTAAATTAATTTAAAAGTATGAGATACTTTACTTAATATTTTGATACAAATGTATACACTTTCATATTGTAAATCTTACACATAACGACCTGGATAAAATAAAATTTCTTGCTAATAGTACAAATTATTATATTTACAAAATAACAATATGACTTTAAATTTACTATGTCAAACTTAAACAATCAATTTTAAAGGATATTAGCTAACGAACATAATTTTAACCAACCCAAGAGGGTAACACTTTGATTCGGCCTACAAGACCAGACTCTTCATTTGCGGCCTCGAAGTTTGATACAAAACCGTTGTTTGGGTTGCCGAGGACGGACCGCTTTGCAACCTCATGAGTGGATTGCTCAGTCGCCGCATCAGTGGTTTCGGGAATGAGAGCCACCACCTCTGGTACAATGTCGATTACTTCAATGTATTCTACTAGTTGGACTCCATCGGCCGTTGTCGTTTCCGATTCCCCCGTTGGTTCCGATACAGGTGCAGCATTATTATACACTGCCAGTGACACCAACAAAACGATTATCCCAATGGCAGCCATCTTGTTTTAGGACAATACTTTTTCAGCTTCGTTTATCAAATTTAACGTATGTTTAGTATCAATACGGCTTGGTTTATGAGCCCTTGCACGCACTCGTAGGTTTTATATCTATCGTCCAAGTATATATATATAATCATGCTAACCAATATGTCCAGAATCGGATGCATTGACGCATTGTACACCGCAGTGTAGACCACTCGCTAATGACACTAACAAATATTTTCAATGTCATTATGGCCGTGAGTAAGTTGGTTTTGTTATGGATTACTACGAAAACTGTGAGAAACAGTTGATTTTATTGTGCGCATCAAGAAATTCCTTGAGGCACGATGAATCATTCTACTCTTATGACTGGAGCCATTACATTTATATTAATAAATATATTTCTTTGAAGATGAATACCTTTGTTAATAATCCGTACATGTCACAATGTGGATATACTGTTATTGAAAGATCATTTATATTTTCTTGTTAGCTATGTTTACAGGCTAGTGGATAACTTTATGGTTATTACATGTACCATGTGATTGCGGCTTGTTTAAATCAAATTGTTCTAAATTAAATAATTTTCTATTAAACTAAGGCCTAATAGAATAGGCTATTATTGAGGTGTTGCATTTACTGTTGAAAATAACATCACTGGTCAAGCACTGACCAGATTTAAAGTGAAAAAGGAAATTGTTATAAAATTTTTAATTTCGAAAGTGAACACACTACATTCGACCCGGGTTCTCTTCATTTTAAGGTAAGTGTATTGTATACTTAGCCACCAAGCCTTTAATTATAATAAAAATAATCGTGGAAAAAATAATTCGTAGCTGGAGTTTGGGAAGAAAACTTCATTAAAAATGTTTAGTGCTAATCCTAAAACTACATACCATTACAAATTTCACAGCCCATAACAACCAGAACACCTTGACATGATATAATTGTTTTGTTATCATTTTGGTGATGCAGCATTGCTATCTTTTTATACAATCAATTCTTCTCGCGAAGCGCTATTTTGTCCCTAGTAGACGGTTGACCTGATGTTAAGTGAATACCGCCGCCCATGGACATCTGCTACAGCCGAGAGTATGCAGATACGTTGACAACCTTTTTGGAAATTGGGCTCCGGTTACCTCACTCACCAGACGAAACGCGAAAGTATTATACTTCCACTTTACGCCGGTCTTCTGTGAGGTCGTGGTACTTATCCGGACGAGCCTGCCCATTCGTGCAACAGTCGAGGCTGCTGCGTGGCCCTATCGACGTTAAAAGATCTTCCCTATAAGTAAGCGTTCTTATTAAATTATGTAGAAAAAGTACGACAAGATTGTCGCCGTTCTTAATTATGTGACCACCACTGTATATAGCCTCATTTTATTTTTAAAAATCGCTCGAGTTTTACGTAAATCTAAATATAGACAGACATTAGTCCCATGACAAGATGCTAATATTTTTTGTCGCCAGTCATTCATCCTTATTTTGTGTTAGCTCTTTATTATCACGAGGCAAGGTTCGTGCGGATTTGATTATTTGCATCAGTGTTATATGCTTATATAATTTGTTTTGAGCATACTGCGTCAATGCATGGACGGCGTGTGTAACGACATGGACAGTTAAGTATACGATCAATAAACTTAATAGGTAAAGTACTCAATGCATCGTTTATAAGGCGCATAAGCCGGAACACGGGATCACAGTTACCAGAGAAATAGAGCAAAATAGGATCGATCGGAAATGCGTTTCATGTGTTTTGCCGTCGCGTCGGTGGCGCTGCTAGCGGCCTGCGTTTGCGCGCCGGCGGGGCCGGACGTGATTCAGCGCATACCGCAAAGAGAAGCAACACAGTCAGCTACAGGAGAAGGTGGTGCGAGGTCTGGTGCTGCGGGAAGAGGTGTAGCTGCTTCTGAAACCCAGCCGCCGGCGGCGAGGGCGCGCCGTGATCTGGGAGGCCTGGAAAGCGACTTGCTGCCGTCCAGTGACGACTTGGACGGCTCACCTTTTAGTGACAGCTTTCAACTGGAGGGGCACAGCCGCATTAAGGTCCTGCCCGCCTATCTTGGTTGATCCGCCATTTTGATTCCGTGCGATTCTTTAATACTGTGATTTCGTAACGCGAGCTAACTTGTTACAATCTATGTAGTCTTTATTACTTTAATTTAGTCTTCTTTTGAAACCTGTACAGTTCTTATGTGTTATAGTTACAGTCTGACCCTGCTATGTCAAAGGATATCGAGATTCTACAAGAAATAATTACTTTTTAAATCAATGAAAAATTGTTTAAGCCTTGTTTAGATTTTAGAGGTGTTTATAAATAGTTTAGTTATGCGTAGTATCTATAACTGTTACGTGCGGATTTTACTTAATAAAGAGTTGAAGTAAAATTAAATTATAATTTTAATTCAATGTATTATGACCTTGATCATTTTATTTGTTCATATCAATGTGGTAACTGCATCATTTACCCAAACGATTTGTAAATTCTATGTTTTAAATTTGACATACAATAATTAATCATTACATTTAGCTCTTACTAGTCGTTGATACGATTTCAGATCGAATACCAATTGTAATAAGAATTATTATTTTTAAGTAAAATTACGAGTAGTTAATGGTTCTAAAACTTTAAGCCATAGAATATAAAAAACCTGATACTGGTGCAATATCGTTCCCTTGTACTATGCACGACCCTGAAGCCCTACATTCCATTGTTATGAAATCTATTGCTAAAGTAACTATTGTGACATCCTAAAAAGCCCGCAGGCCAGGTGGAGTAACGACTTGTGTGATTGTGGGTCTACTTGTAGACTCTAACGCCCAGTTTCTGAAACACTGATCATCGCAGATGTCAAGTTTCACATCGTAGATTAGTTGACATCTACGATGATCAGTGTTTCAGAAACAGGGCGTAAGAATCAGGAAATTTAGCTAGACGCAAAGATACATATGACAAGGAAAAAAACTCAAAGGATGTTCACTTAAACATGTTGTCTTTCTTAATTAACTGCAGAAAATAAGTCTGTCTGTACCTGAACGGAAAGATAAAAAATGGGCAAAAAATAATAATATATTTAACGGTACCGTACAGAGGTTACTACAACTAATGGGAGGTGTACGTTGCCTGCACCCTTTTTTTTTTGGATGAGCCACTGTTGGCCTTAGGGGCCTTTACAGATCCGACGGACTTGAGGTGGCCGGGCGCTCGTGACGCCTAGCCTGAACCTCGCCTATTATTCTTGTATCTTGTATTAACTGATGTTTTTGCTTTCAGTCCCGAGACTATTAAAGCTTCATCTGACGCAGAACCGTTGGGCTAGCCAGAACCCACGGGTTTGGGTGCCTATTATTATTACGCGTTATGGTGACTAAGCTCGAGGGCTCCCGAGGGAACCTCAGCTCGGGCCGTCACGCTATTGCCTGCGCCACTGAATATTCTGTAAATCAATAATCAAATCATTTATTCACCGAAATATATAAATTTCATCCATCGTAGTCATTTTTTAAATCTACCACCGTTTCGTAATGAGGTTCGTCTAATGGAGAAGAAATAGGAGAAAGAAACTCCGTAGGTATCCTCTTTTTGTCATTTTTTTTTCCTCAAAATATTAACTTTAGTGGGTATATAAGTCACTAATCCTTCCCAGTAGAACATTAAATTTGATTGACCGTAAAGCTGTAATAGAGTTCCAAACAATGTCATCTGATTAATTTCTTTATAAACATACAAATATTACCACAAAAGCAGATTGCAAATGAGCCGCGGCATTTTATTGTCACTCTCCGCATCGCTCTGCCTTCTTGTTGCCGCCGCATTTAACATTTACTACAAAATAAAGGTACTACGTATAAAAAGTACTTAGGTAATTAGAAAAATTCACATTACATCGATAAATAACTAAAGCTAATCACCGTTTGTTAGATACTGTTAGATAATTAAGCAATCCTTCGTATGTAACGAATCTATATCAGGTACACCAATCATTCTAGACCATATCGCATTGCATGTAACTAGCATGAAAACAATAATTGCACTGTGGACTATTGTTTTTTGTCATATTATATCGGTCTGTTATGGATACCGTAATGGGACAAATAATGTGGAAATGTCGTTGTTTAATAAGTCTATATCAAATTTAACTAAGGACGAATCGAAAATCGATATGAAGCGCAGTGTTATAGATATGAAGGAATTTGAAGGCAATTCCACGAATGTACTGTCTGAGCGCATGGAGACAGCGGAAAGTAGTAATTATGTGTACCGGCCTCTTTTTGTCTACAGAAAAATTGAACACAGTAAACGTCGGATTACCATGTATAACGCTTTTGCTGGTTAACCATTTAAGGGTACGCATTTAAGATTCACTAAAACTAATATTTCACGCTTTTGAAACGATTATTTTATATTTTATAAACCTAACAAGCTGCCATACTAAAAACTTTTATAGTATTAATAATTACGTACCAATTATTAAGAAAACAGTTTAAAAAGAATATAATCTTTATTCAATTATTAATTGAATAAAGATTAAATAAAAATTGAATAAAGAATATATTCTTTTTTAACGTCTTGTAACTGCTTTTTTTAGTAATTTTTATTGGCTGTTAGAAGCCAATTACCGTAACAAGTCTATTACTGTTATTAGTTTTATAGTTTTTGGTCAAAAGAATTATAACAGTTGTATCGTTCGCTTTGGCATTTCTGTGTGTTGTCACAAAATGTTCCGTTTTTGGATCACAATTTTCGTATTATACTTTAGAGTAAGTGAATAACTTAACAACAAAAAAACATAACATTGGTATACGTTTGTTTATTGAAAAGGTTAATCAAGTATTAATGATTTTTTCCTTCTAGGCTTACGGTGTCTACGCTGGCATATCACCTGTTCATGATCTCAAAAACCAAATTAATGCAAAACTTGCTAATGAAAGGTTCCTTTTAAAATCACCTCAAAAATCTTTAAAAAAATTTGATAATTCCATCCTGAAGGCGACTAAAAATATAACGGAAAATACACAAATGGAAGAAACTCTGTATCAAATATCAAAAGATTTAGTCTCTGCAATTTTATCAAAGCTAGAAATACAGGACAAAATTACTCGCATCACAAGAGAAGCTCTGGATGCTCCCGGTAAAAATAAAGGTATTACGGCTATTGAAACAAGACGAATTTTGGATTATATATCTAGGACTCTGTCAAGTCATATTTTAAGCATAACAAGAGCATCCACGGAACCTGAGCTGCATCGTTTAGTCTATGGATTAGCACAAATTGCTGCTGAAGTATCAATTGTATCAGCTTTAAAAGATAGCACATACGCTACTGCTTTGTCTAAGAAGCAGTCTGTCGATTTGTCTCTACGAAAAAAGAGAGAAATTCCACCAAAACAGGAAACATTAACAACACCTACATCATATTCAGGACCAACAATATTGAGCATTATTTTAAAGAAGCCATTAACTGCTCCCAAAACTGAAAATACAACATTAATGCAACAAGAAAACAATGTTTATATGTCAAATTCTCCCTACACTGTCATATCTAACCGCGAAAAAGCACCGTTTCGCATTTTGACTATGAATCAAAAAACTCCTGTAACTTTGAAAGGATTTTTAAATCAAACTGTTTTGGATAGCGAAAACCGTGATGAAACTAAAAATGAAACAGAGGTTATTGTTTTAGATAAAGCTATTAATGTAACACATTACGTTAACTCTGATTCACAAGCTTACAATAAAGATGAAGTCGCTACGGGGGAATTATTAGATGATTGGGTTGATGCAAAAGGCCATACTTACGCTATCAATCCAGATTTAATTGCTGAGATGGAATTTGATCAGCCAGAAATAGACGAAGAGATTGCAAAAGAAAAGAAAGAGAAGCAAAAATTGGAAAGACTGGAGGTCAAAGCCAAGAAAGCGATACTCTACGCTGGTGATGTTGCATACTTAACTGCTGCTAGTGTTGTAGCTATGCGACGTGCTTTAACAGCTTCGATCGAAGTACAAATGTCCGTGAAGTTCGCTAAAAATGGTATGTCTAATCATCAAGATTTGATGATGAATCTGGCAAAAACTGCTGCCCAGCAAGCTGGCAAAGAAGCTAAAAGTGCAACTTCAAAATCTCTTTCATGTGAACGTGTCATTAAGCTTGCTGTAAAATACACTGCTCAGTCTCAAGGAGCGAAACTTAATCACGTAGCTAATAGAATCGTTATGGATACCCTATCTTTAGCAACACTCGCTAAGTCAATGGCTTTTGTTTCATCAGATATTGCTATAAATTCTCTTTATCAAGCTACAGATATTAAACCTCCTTCTTAAACAGTTATCATTTTGCAGGCTATTGGAATTATAATCGTTTAGAACGTACTATATTCATATTCAAGTCATTAAGAGGGTTTAATGATAATACTAAAAACTATTTCACGTGATGTTTATAAAACTAAATGTATCTATGTAATTCATAGGGAATACTTCAATATATCTAGATAACCTTTATCCCACAACTTAAGTCAGTTATGGACGAATTATTAACTAATGACTCTGATATCTGAGAGAAAATCAGATCGGTACGAAATTTTGGTATTATTATCCTCTCTTCACTCAATTAATATGTACATATAATTGAAAATTGTATTACATTCTTAGATGAAAACTGATTTTATAGATTTCATTACATCTTACATGGTAGTGCATTAACACATACAAATTCAATATAATACATACATAAGTTTTTGGAAGTAACGTAATTAAAATTGAGAATGTTGTACTTTTTTATAAATAAAAGAATAAACGGTTACCTTTTCTAGCCTTCATTAATAACCATAAATAAAGGAAATAAAAATTCACCTACGTTTTTTGATATTTTCTTTATTTAAACAACCAGTTTATACGTTTACAATATCAGTTCGCTGGATGATCGCCGTCCTAAGTGGTGTTACGCGTTTTTTTCAATACAGTGTATAATATGGGTAGTAGGTATGTGTGTAGTAACTAGAAATAAATAAAAACTAAATTAATATTTTTGTTCCTTGATTAATTATATAACATAATCTTTATTGCTAATTGTCGAAGTCTATCGATTCATAAATAAATTAGTCTCATTGCTGTTTTGTTTATGATTCTATGAAACATAGCCTTATAGTGCTGGATTTATAGAAGTGAGAGGATCAGTGAGAGATACATGTCGATGGGCGATGAGGATGGGGGCCGTGATCGTTAACTAGACTGATCCTTGGTGGATGGCAAAAATCACGAGTTATATAACTTTAACCTTAGCCTTAGAAGGGTGCTAAGGAATGCGTCACTTGTCTTGAAAAGTGACTAGTCCTCCTAATGCATGTAGAATGATTTTTGTGTATAAAAATCCGTCAAGTGATTTACCATCAGTCTTACCATGAAGTGATTTACCATCAGTAACGGAAAAAAATCAATTTAAGATTCAACTTACGTGGGCGTATAGAACTTTGTGTATGTGAATGGATAAAGATAGCCTGTGTTCCACCACAGGCTGGAGTCGGTCTTCAAATCAGATGTATCGGGTGCACTTTTCTGGTGCTGCGGTGGTGTGGCCCGATTCAGTGCATACTCGGGAATCGCATGGGCGTTTGGTGTCAACTCCCTTTCGAACGGCAGTGCGCTACAAGCTGCGACTACTATTAGCAATACAACTAGTTTCTGTAACAGATTTCGTTTATAATTAACATTTAAGAGTATTTAGGCGCCGCAGGAATGTTCGTATTATCATGTTGTGTATAAAAATTTATAACATATTAAAATAAAATAAAGCATTTTATTCAAAGAAATCGTACGTTTGAGTAGGGAGGGTTGAGTGAGGCGTAAGCGGAGGGTGCCACATTATTAGAAGTACCGGACTACTGATGTGGCAGATTAGTGAGGCTTTACTATAGACTCTACTCTACAGATTAGAATAAAAGCTGCACTCAAAGGCCGGAAACCTGCATTTCATTACTCGAATAACCTGCCTTTTAGATCCGAATTCGGCAAGGGCACAAAAATAAGCCGTGCTAACCCAGGTTTTGGGCGCTCGCCTTTAATTCAATACACCTACTTACTCAAGCAACCTTAATTCGATCCCCGGTGCCGGCTCCAATGAAATTATTAATTTTAATTGGTGACTTATCACGTACACGGCGGTGAAGGAATACATCGTGAGGAAACCTGCATATTCTAAATATAACAAAAAAAATATTTCGAAAATTATGTGAAGTTCACCAAGCCACAGTGGGGCCACGTGGTCGATTTCGCCCTGATACCTCTGTACAGAGGAGGCCTTTGCCCACATGGGACATGTATAGGCCTTTGACTTTTCCTTTTGTTTTACAAAAATAAAATGTACATTGTTGTTTGTAAGTTGTTTGTATTGTCGATGTAAGTTCAGTAGTTTTAGAATAATTATTAAATAAAGCTGTGTCGGATGCCAGAAAGAATGTGTCGATGTAACACGTGCACAGCGGTGAAGGAAAACATCGCGAGGAAACTTTGAGGAATCTTTGAAATAATCAAACCCAAATATTTAAAACATATTTGAAGCCTGCCACTACGTAGTGAGATACTTGGCTTGCTACACCCTAATCTACTCCGGCAAAGTGGATTTCAAAGTCACATTAAGTAATTTTCTTTTTCCATAAATGGAGATAGAAACGAGTATGGATGGAGATAGTATCGGTGGTAGGGCCACGCAGCAACCTCGGCTGTTGGGCACGTTGTGTTGCACGAATGGGCAGGCCCGTCCGGGTAAGTACCACGACCTCACAGAAGACCGGCGTAAAGTGGAAGTATGACAAATACTTTCGCGTTCCGTCTGGTGAGTGAGGTAGCCGGAGCCAAATTTTCAAAAGGTTGTCAACGCATCTGTAACCCTCGGGTGTAACAGATGTCCATGGGCGGCGGTATTCACTTAACATCAGGTGAACCGTCTGCTCGTTTGGCAACTTTTGACATAAAAAAATATATATAATTTATACAATATAGTAATACGAGACTTACCATATTGAGAGAAGTTCGGACACTGTTGTAGTAAGAAATTAAATTGCTGTGAGATATTCAGGGAGTCGAATTTATACTAAACAAAGATAATAAAAAAAAACACGTACGTGCATCTATCCTTTTCTAAATGCATTTTCCAGATCAAAAATTTTTTGCCATCTCGATTTATGTGAAATTCGCTGAGACGAAATTTATTTTGTTCACTCGAGTTAGGGTACCATAATATTTTGTCCGTCTAAAACGAAACCATTTATTTTTGAGGTACGGAAAAATTAAGGATTCAGCATGGATCTAGATCAGCAAAAATAAGAAATATAATTTTACCGATGACTTGTTTGTTCTGTTTCAAATTCAGGAGATAAGAAGAAAATAAAAGAAATATTTAAAAACCTTCATGAAATGTGACCATCGTCGCCAATAACGTACCTATATAGGCGACGAAGGTCACATTTTAGGCATTATTAAGTTGGTATCGTGGATGGTTCTATGTCTATCCACGTAAGGAAATTTCAATTACTGTACGAAACATTCTTATAAAACACCGGCAATAATATTAGGTACGAAAATACGGACAGAACCAAATAATTACTCGAAATATCGTATCATCACAGATATCTGCTATGACATAAAATAATCATAAAATGTAATAATTTAAATGAAATGCAACCTAATAAAACGTTTGAAGCAAATCGATTTAATCTTCGATTTAGTATAAGATGTTTCGTAAAAAACAAGTCAATGGAATTATATTGTTCTAAAATTTTTTTTTCATTTATTACACGTTTTAAAATCAGAAATTTCTTCTGTCTATTTGGGTGTAAAAAAGAGAAATTATGTCACATTTGGTATATTGCAAGCATTAGTTTCCATTTCAAGTAAAAATATTGTTGTATATGGCTTTCGGATTATTTGAGCAAAAAAGGAATCAATTACCTGAAGGTGTCATTATAGGTTATGCTAGCAATTTATTACGTATATTAATGAATGTCTTCAATCAATTACACTAAAGTATACTTTACGATCTGTTGAAAATGTCATCTAAACAGCTTTTTTTAAGCTTCAGAAATAAATTTATATATTAGATCGTTTTGGGAATAAGCGTGAATTAGTTCCCCTTCAACTCATATAATCCGCGTGAAATTAAAAAATACATTTTATTGATGATTTATTAATTTGTTATTAACGTTACTTTTTACATTTACATATAGCATTTCATTGAGCTGTTATGGAGAACATACTGGCGCTAATATTGGAAAATTTACTATTAAGGCAGTGTTAAGGAAATCCCTTTAAAATAATATGGTGTACGTCGTAAAATTAAATCTTTATCCAACCTTAATAACAGTCGTTATAAGTGATGAGACGTCCTGGTATAAGGGTGTCTTCTGTATGCGGTGAAGGGCTTTCGTCACCCCAGGTGTTTTTTGTCTCCTTTTCGACTGGTTCATCTTTAAGGACCTCGTTAGTAGGTGAAGTTTGCTAAATCATTTGGATTTTCCTCTGCTTTATTGCAGCAGCTTCTACTGTTGCCCGAATCAGACGAGTGGTCCAGAGAAGAAATAAAACCTGATGGATAGCTGGCCTAATATATAAGTCTTTATATACTTTTTCGTTTCGTCTGGTTAGTGAGGTAAACGGTAATTACATCCACAAAATTATTACACGGCCATTTAAGGGTCAGGCAGCTTTATACTAGATGAATCCATCATAATTTGACTGAAGTCCAGAAACACCTTCGCATGGTGTCACGAAATGTTAGAAAAGTTCAATGGAGGTGAATCTAATGTATATTTGATAACTGTATTTGACATCATCACAGGTGATGAAAGCATTTATTGCTACAAAATCTGCTCACTGCTCATCTGCTCAGAGAGTGTACCTTTTGACGATCGGCGCACTAAAGTAAAGAAAGGAATAAGTCAAGGAAAAAAGGTGATTGTCTCATTCTTTGATCGGAAAGATCATTTTGCGACAGTTGTGGTGGAAGATGGAAGGACAGTTATTGCACACTGGTGTGTAAGACTGGAATATTTGACTATGCAGGTGTCGAGCTCATGAGTCATTCGCCGTATACTTTCGCTTGGGACAGCCGGTTCTACTGAGTTCAAGTACTGTGTCCCATTGTCGTAAAGGTCCATTTTTCATCAAAAGTAACTAAAAATATCCTCGGTGAGTACCTACTGTCACGCAGCACTCAATGTGTGGGTCTCGGATCGTCCAAAGGGTTTGTTCCATAGTTCAAAATTTCTAGAACGAAAACGTCGGTACCAAAAATGTAGTACTGTTTTCTTTTAAAGTATATTCCCCTTACACATGATTAACCCTTCGAACTGTTTCTGCAGCGTTGGTGCCATGGTGCACCTCATATTCATAAATATCGCAATATTTTTAACTGTGGTAGGGCCATGCAACAGCTTCGGCTGTTACACCTCACAGAAGACCGACGTAAAGTGGAAGTGTCGTACTTTTGCGTTTTGTCTGGTGACTGTGATAGCCGGGGCCCACTTTACTAAAAGGTGGCAATGCATCTGCAATCCTAGGTGTTGCGAATGCCCATGGGCAGCGGTAATCAATTAATATCAGCTCACTTGCCACCTTCTCACGTAAAAAAATGAAACGCAGTCTTTGGGTATTGCCGATAGATTTGAAAACTTAATAAGTTAAAAATAATTAATGTAATTATTTATAAATAAAATAATCCAATCCGCAGTGGGGCCGCGTGGTGGACTATGCCCTGATACCCTCTGTATAGGGGAGGCCTTTGCCCAGCAGTGGGACATGAATAGGCTGTTACTACTTTTACTTAAAATAATTGTTATGTTAAATAAATTATTAATAATAATTTTAAAGTTAAATATAATAAATATGTGATAATAATAATTAACATAAATAAAAGGCGTTCAGTGACGATGACGCAAGTTCTACGATTTTTGTTCACCCAAACATTGCTCACCGCGCCTTATGAAGTTTTCACTTCAAAAACAATTTAAGTTTTCTATATCAATGAAAAATCTAATTGCGTGACGACAAATGATCTGAAATGAATTTGATTTCCTATTTAAAAAAAATTCAGCGCCATCTAACAAAAAATTTAACAGGAGGAATTGTAAAGCTTGTTCATGTACTAATAATTTGAAAAAAATATAATATCTTTTACTAGATGACGCTGTTTTAAACATACACTAATCTCACTAGAGGGCGCTTTCTATAAGTTTTTCTCTTTAAAGGTATTCCTCTATTATATAAAGAGGAAAGATTTGATTGTTTGTATGTATCGAATAGGCTCCGAAACTACTTAACAGATTTGAAAAATTTTTTGACTGTTGAGAAGCTACATTATCCCTGTTTGACAGAGGCTATATAATATTTTCAAAAAATTAGGGATCCTTACTAAAACTCCAATAATGTTACTCTAATTTTTGTACAAATTACCTAAAATATTCTTTACATTGCGTGCGCTGCGAAAACTATTGATGATAGAATAAAGTGATGTACTACGACTTTGCAGACCACATCATTATTTACAAAAAGTGTCGCAACAGAATATGTCTAACTATTATAGTTATGCCACAATAAGTGTTCTTTCATTTTAAAATTTTGGTTGAAATGCCGCCGCTATCAAATGCTGTTTATTTGTATCTCGGTATTAATCCTTATAAAAATAAATTACTTCATATTTAAGACTGTTTCAATATCTTTATAAAACTTTTTGAATTATTAAATTCGGACATTCCATTCCTTAGATATTGCAAATTTAAAAATGTTATTATATTGTAATTTAACTATCCAACAGCTTAGTGACTGACTTAGTAGTTCTTATAAGTTTTCAATCATATTTATACTGGTAATTCCTGTTCAACAGTTAGCAAATTATTAAATACTGAGGAAGTTTAATTTTTTTATCATTTTAAAATGCCCAAAAGATCAAGATCTCATCTTTCTAGAAATAGTTCGCAGGCGAGGACATTATACATACGTCATAATGCGGAATCTTTACCGGAAACTGAATATCGTCTTACACGTCGGAGAGAGTCAAATAGAGTGTTTGCAGTGGTTTGAAGAGTATAATAATATAAATATACAAATTCACACTAGGGAATTGAGGTCTGAGCGTTCCCAACGTATACAAGATTAGAGAGAAAGATAACAAACGTCAACGACTAGAGTTCGTGATCGAGTTTTAGCTCACAGTAACAGATCAGCTTTCATGCATTTTGCTCAACAGTCTTCCGTCCAAATCGTAGCCACGAATAAGATCTGCTCTAAGTGTTCTGCCAAAAAAGGTCGATGAACCAAATGGTATGTGCTGTGCTTCTGGAAAAGTTAGTTCCCCCAATATTGAGGAGCCGCCACAACCAATAAAAAAACCTTTTTACAAATAATCATTCACCATCAGGACATTTTTAACCAACATCCGATAGCCTCTTTCAAATGACTTCGTTTGACGCGAACTTTTAAAATAGAGGGACAAGTATACAAGTTATTATCATCCTCCTGCCCCTATCCCACCTAGGTGGGGTCGGCACAACATGAATCATGTTGTAAGTGGTTTTGCCTATATTTTTACAACCAGCCGCCTGCTTGACGTCAACCCTCCTTGGGAAACAAATACCCAGATCAAATTTCAACTGTGTAACTATCATGTTTCATGAGATACAGCCTGTTGACAAAGGGACAAACGGACAGCGGAGTCTTAGTAATAGGGTCCCGTTTTTCCCTTTGGGTACGGCATCCTAAAAAGGCTCCAGAGATATAGTGTTGCACGGTAGACACGGCCAAATTAAAAGGGTCTCTGAGTTACACCGATTGTATGATCCATAAAAATATCCCTTAATAGTCGTAATAGGAGAAGACGGTTAATATTTGACTATTCCTCAGCAAGGTACTGTGCGTAACAAAACTGTGACATGCATGCAATTGTATGCATTTAGGTTGATGGTTAAAGCTTCCTGTTTTAAGCCATTGCAGTATTACTGGGACTTATCAGGGTTCCGTTCCCAAAGGCTAAAACGGATGAATTTCTGTTGCCGCTATAACAAAAAATACCAAAAAACAAAAGAATATAAATAAGTGGGGCTCCCATAAAACAGACATAATTTTTTGGCCGTTTTTATAGATAATGTTGACAGTAGTAGCGTTTTTGACAATATGTAAGTGTAATACTTCTATATTGAATAAAGATAATAAAACATGATTTTTTTTAATGTGATAGTGGCATACGAGCTGGCGGTTCACCTGATGTTAAGTAATAACCGCCGCCCATGGACATTTGTAACACCTGTAGGGTTGCAAATGAGTTGCCATCTTTAAGACATTGGCTCATCAAATATCGGTCAACAAACCAAAGATGGGATGATATATGTCCGAAGCTATGGGAGACCAGACTTATTTGTCACTTTTACGTGTAACCCCGAATGTCCCGTAATTAAAGCGGAACCATTATCTGGTCAGCGGTCTTTCGATCCTCATGAAGTAATTTCAAGGGTTAAAAGATGAAGAAATTCATAAATTTATTCACCAAAGACGAAATATTCGGAATATTTTATGTGTATGATAATTTTTAGTTTTAAAAATTTTGTTAAATACCCGTGCGAAGCCGGGACGGGCCGCTAGTATTTACATAAAATAAAATATAATGTATATGTTAAAATACACCTGCACAATAATAAAATAAAAGTAGAACAGAATAAAAAATATAATAAAGTGACTGATACGTCAGGCGGAGTTGATCCCTCTAACAGATCTGTAGAGTATAGCATAAAAACCTTTTATGCGTTTAAAAAATAATTTTTAATAAAAAAATATTAAAATAAGTGTTCGCGGTAAATAATTGTTGTTTAACCTAGGTATATAAAACAAAATTCCAAAGAATATAAAAATATTCTTCGTCATTGAAGTCAGATAATTGATAACTATTTCTTTTTCAATTCGAATAAGTAATAATATTTGTGTAAATATGTATTAACATATGAATCTTAAATACGTATCAAAATATATTTACGTAAAAAAAATTAAACTGTGCGATTAATTTCGTGTGTCATCTCTCATGCTGTGAGAAATGCGTTCCGGACCGGTTTTACCGAAATGTTGAAGATACAAAGTATTTTTATATAAATAAGATCTCATGGGCCTTCAAACTGCGTAATTATTGAAGGTGGTTTGGTAGCATCGTATAGTTTTATTCCTAGGTAAATAGGTTATTTTATTTTTCAAATGTTGTGCACGGGATATATCAACATCGACCGAAGCAAATACATATTTAGGGTTTTACAAAAATCTGAGAGATTTTGCATAAACTTGCAAGATACCTTGTCTATTTTGCTTACTGCAGAATACTAAAGAAAAATCTAATGCATAAAGTTATAAGCGACTGGCAAGGGCATAATTTCTTCTCAAAAATAATTAGTAGACTCAATCACCAATAGTTTGTCGATATAGGTATATGCAA